CCACCTGAGAATGGGAATGAGAATGAGAATGAGAACGACAGCCTGAGAAAAGTGGTAGCTCTGAGTGGGAAAAGGCAGCTGTCCAAGGAAAAGCTGGCCACCGCTTCCATTGTTCGATAGCAATTATTGCTGCTTCGCACTTCTATTACAAAAGCCTTATCTATATACATAAGACTATATATCTATATATATATATGTATATATATACATACAGCACGCATGGTGCATGGCAGGTGCTTCAACTTTGCTCGGCTGCACGTTTTCGCAGTGCACATCTTTAAGCCAGCGATGATTGAAAATTACATAATTGCAAAATGCAGCGAGAGGTGCCAGCAGCAGCAGAGTACGTAGAAAAAGTCGAGGAACCAGGGGTCTCTTGCCACCAGCTAAGTGATTGAGAGTGTTCTGTCTCCCCTTCTCCCTGCACAGAGAGAAATAGTAGCAGAAGTAGTAGTAGCAGATTTGATGATGCGGCCATTGCATTCGCGTGTTGTGACAACAACAGCAACAAATTGCATCTCCTCTGCTGTGGCAAGTGTGTATATTTGCTGTTTCCCATTTCCTTTTAGCCCAATTGATCGAGTGGACAGGCAAACACCCAAAGACGGGCCCAGCAGACAGACAGACGGACTGGCATCCGTTCACACTCATAACGAGGGAAGAAGAATGACTCTATGGCCATCTCGTCGGCTCCCTTGACTCTCTTAAACTTCATTTAATTTCCAAATATCAAAGTAGACATTATTCTTCGAGCATTTTCAAATCACATTTCAACTATATATCTCCCGTCTTGGATTAGGGTACAGGGTATGCAGGGTAGAACCTCATAATTCCCTTGAAGGCGAGTGTTTGTGTTTGCATTGCCAAGTTGGCACTTTGCTATTGACAGTGACTGTGACTGAAAACCAGAAATCGTGTGCACTCCAGAGGTTATTTTTGCATCGTGTGCAAAGTGAATGGTCGAGGATGCTCCTCAGCGTGCCTTCCTTTTTCGATCTCAAATGATATGAAAAATTCCTTTGATTGACAGGCAAATCGCTTTGCATTTGGCATGACCAATTATTGGGCATTTACTGTTTCCTGCTCATCTCCGTTTAATTGATTATGCCGGGATTGTGATTGTGATTGTGATTGTGACAGTGACTGTTACTGTTGAAGTGATTCTTCTGGGCTAAAAAGAAATGGAAATCTCAGCTTCTTGTCTAATTGACTTTGGCTACTTTCACTGGTCATTGTCATTAGTGTTAGCCAGGCAGGCCCCCTTTGACCTTTCATCGGTCGTCGTTTTCCCCTTCACTCTCTAATGATGTGATCTCAGGTCCATTCTTTTTCCTTTTCCTTATTCATATAGCTTCGTATCTGCTTATGATGCAATTGCCGTTCTCTGGCTTTTCTCTTTGGCGTAATTAGAGGTCCCAAACAAGAATGAGAATGGGCAGAGGAAGGATGGCAAATGGCAGATGGCAGAAGAAGATCGCAGAAGTAAGCGTGCCTAATGATAACCTTTTGAAGACCCCTCTTCGAATCCTCAGCACTCTCTTTTCTTCTCTGCTTTCTGTTTTATGTTTTCTGTTTTCTGTTTTATGTTTTCTTCTCTGCCTCAAATGCGATTCGTTTCGATTCCGTTTTATTCTCCCCGTTCCTCGCTTCCCATCGCGTTCCTCGTCGTAACTGCAAATTTTCTTGATTACCGGGTAGCCAACTTAAATCCAAGTACGCGCCACTGGCCACAAGAATTGACCAAAGAGAGAGGCGGGGGCTAAAGGGGGCGTGCCAGCACTGACCATTGACCATTTGAGATGGCCACCAGATGATGAGGAGCACTGCAGTCCATCGATCTCCGATTCCCGGCCATATAATTAGCATTCGCAGCAGCGGCAAGAAAAACAGTTGGCATTGTGGGGTGGTGACCTTCATGAACCTTGAAGATTCTGTAATTGCAGTAGGCAAATCCCAGAAATGATGAGAAACTCAAATTAGAAATGGTCAAGGACGCAAAACGGAGGCCAAAAATAAACCCAATAGCCGCCCGCCCGGCTATAAATAACGAGCTTCGTGAGCTGGCAATCGGCCGGGCCAATTGCAATTCTTTCTCAGAAGGAACCGAAAAAAAAAAGAAGAAGACCAACAGCCAGAGCCAGGGCCAGGGCCAGCAAATCTGCAACAATGACGTCAACAACCGGAGATGTCCAGAGAAATCTGGGCTTTATCTGGGCCCTCAGATCTCGGACCATAGCACAGCCCTTGTAATTGGCTTCTGTTAGGGCGCACTGCTCATTTGCCTCGGTTCAAATGCATTTCATTTGGCCAACGACTGGGCCTAAAGCCTACAGGTGATATTCGAAAAAGATAACAACGGAAGATAACTTCTGATAGAGGGAATTAAGCTGTTATTTGAATCAGAATTTGTTGAATTTTATACAAATAATCAATTCGGCAATAACAACAATTAAAGGTATTAGCCCTAATCCCATTGGAGCCTTAAATGGGGCTGCCTTTAAAAGTCAGTTTTAGGTAATTTAAGGTATTGGACTTGGACTTTTGTCGCATTGTCTGGTCTGAGCTTTGGACATTAATCCTGCCCGCTTATTTCCTTTTTTACTAAAGGCATGCAAAACGAGAGCAATTGCAGATGTTGTTGCTGGTTGCTGGAGAAGATGCAACAGACCCCTGTTGCAGCTGGGGCAACGACAATTTTAGTTTGGCTCCCGTTGAGTAGCTGCTGGCTGCTGCTGCGGGCTGCTGCTGTTGCTGTTGCTGTTGCTGATCTTGTTGCTGTCGCAGTGGTTGCCGTTGTTGCTGTCGTGCGCTTCGAGGAGGATCGCAAGTTGCAACAGCAACATCAGCGGGCATTCCACGGTGTCTTTGCCACCTATTTCATACAGCATACAGAACATTTGTTGTCGCTGTTTAATGTTCTTGCTGTGGTAGCAGCCGTAGTGGCTGCTGCTGATGTTGCTGATGTCGCTGTCGATGTTGCTGATGTTGCTGATGTTGCCCTGCAATCGGACACGCCGGCAACGTTCAACATTTGGCACTGGTCTGCGGAGAATTCGATGCCCCTGTTATATCGTTTGCCATTTCCCATTCCCAATAACCTCTGCACTGGACGAAATTGTTCTAGCAAGTATTAGCCAAATAGGAATACCTTGAATGTAACTTAAAACTGAGAATTTGTAAGTTGTTTAGACATATTAACTTGGCCTTAAGCAGAATTGAAATGCCTTTAGGCCAGAATCCATCTGCTGTTTTTTCACGGTGCGGCACCGATTCTCGGTTTTCATTTGGCCATTTTCAGCTCGTGTTGGGCTGGTTTAATATCGTTGGTAATGGCCACGTTCCAAGCTCTATAATCACTGGCGAGGGCGAATTCAGCGGGGAAAATGCATGAAATAATTGCATTGCCAGTGCCCAACTCCAACTTCAAGTCCAAGCCAGAGTTGGAGTCCAAGTTGGAGTTGGAGTTGGAGTTTTGTGTCCGCTCGTTTCTGGACAATTTTCGCAAAACAAATTGAATTGAATATGTAAATATAATTGCTTCGGGCTAGAACGATCTGCACTCCCTTGCCGGAATCGGTCTCCCCCTCCCTTCCATCCACTTCCTATGGGGGCGTTTAAAAACCCATAAATTTCGACTTAAATGCCGCTCTGGAAGTCATTGCGGGAGGTGGAAAAAGGCAAGGCACTAAAGGGAGTTAAGAAGTCGTCGGAGAAGAGGCCAACCAACAGCTGGCTAACATATATGGCATTAGCTTCCGCAAGACTTTGACCATTTGTAGATGGCACAGCGAAATGAATGCAAATGCATGCAGTTAAATAATCCATGACTCGAGATGAATGAATGAATCAAATGGATCCCCCTCGGGCCGCCGAATGGATGGTCTGATGAATAATTAACCGAATTGGTGTGCCATTAGATGGGGAATACCTTGGCTTGGGAACGGAATAACCTATTTTGTAGTTTGCCCAAAAAGGGGAAAATAGAAATTTATTGAACTGATTGCATACAGAAGAAGTACTTAACTTGTTCTTGTTCAGCATCAATGATCCATTAACTCAAAGAGGATCTCAATTATACCTCAATTTCCAGGCCGATTCGATTTCGCTTTTCTTTGGTAAGGAGGACCACCCACCCATCTATTTTGGCATACACCATGCATGCACCACATTGCAGCAACGATGCCTTTGCACCTGCAGGTCAACTCCCTGAACCGCCATGCACCATGCACCATTGGCTGGGGCGGTAGATGGGTTGGATTACTTGGATGGGCTGGCTGGCTGGATGGCTGGATGGTTGTCCGCAGAAAGCAATTTGCTGCTGGCTGCTCCAATGGAAACCACAAGAATGCCAAAAAGTTGTTTTGCGCAGCGGCTGCCAGAGATTGGAATTGGAATTGCTATTGGTATAGGGGAATAGGATTTGTGGAACGGGAATGGAGTGGGCCGTTAGAAACTCAAACCGCAGATCGTCAATAAAACGTAGCTAGCTCCTTTCCCCGTTGGACAGCTCATTAAAGTCTCTCGAAAGTCAAAGAGTTTGATGTCGACATGGATGTGGGAAGATGTCTGCTGAACTTGAGCCAACGAACTGGTCTGAATGGAAATGCTGATTGGGAATGGGAATGGGAATTGGGAATGGGAATGAGAATGGGCCACAGCTGCCGCTCAGTTTTTTATGGGTTAGATGGTTGGTTCGGCGCTTAGTTAAGCGTGTAACAGGCCTGTCCAAGGGCGGAAGTAGTAGCCACAGCACCACCTCAACTGAGAGCCACTAACCACTCTGCCCAACCACTTGTTTTCCTCTGTACCTGATCGATCTATTTCAATGGAAAGTGGGGGGCAGGAAGTAGCACTCAGCCTTTAACTCCTGGGAAAGAAGATTTGTTCGCATATAAAGAATGTGTTCTTCCTCTCAAACTTTGCTTCTTTCACTGATTAATATATGTTTAAGAAATATAATGGAAACCCTCTAACCTCTGACATTGTTTTCTAATTTCCAGATCGCAATGCAATTACCGGAGAGCAGGAGAAATCGCAACCGATCATCGACGCACATGGGTATGCACATGGGTCCATTGCTGCTCTCGGCCGTGTTGGTCCTCTTGGTGGTCTTGCCCGGACAGATCGATGCGCGGATGGCCTTTGAAAAGCTGACGGACTTTGACTTCCCGGGCAATACATACTACAGCGTGAAGAACCTCTCCCTTTACGAATGCCAAGGATGGTGTCGCGAGGAGGCTGATTGCCAAGCGGCGGCGTTCAGTTTCGTGGTGAATCCCCTGTCGCCATCGCAGGAGACCCATTGTCAACTCCAGAACGACTCCTCGGCGGCCAATCCTTCAGCAGCTCCGCAACGAAGCGCCAACATGTACTACATGGTGAAGTTGCAGCTGCGCAGCGAGAATGTCTGCCATCGGCCGTGGAGTTTCGAGAGGGTCCCCAACAAGGTGATCCGTGGCCTGGACAATGCCTTGATCTACACCAGCACCAAGGAGGCCTGCTTGTCGGCTTGTCTCAATGAAAGGCGCTTCGTCTGCCGATCGGTGGAGTATGACTATAACAACATGAAGTGTGTGCTCAGTGACTCCGACAGACGCAGCTCTGGACAGTTTGTCCAGCTGGTGGATGCCCAGGGTACGGATTACTTTGAGAATCTCTGCTTGAAGCCAGCTCAGGCCTGCAAAAACACTCGCTCGTTTGGCAATGCCCAAAAGATGGGAGTCTCCGAGGAGAAGGTTGCCCAATACGTGGGACTGCACTACTATACCGACAAGGAACTCCAGGTTACCTCCGAATCTGCCTGCCGATTGGCCTGTGAGATTGAATCCGAGTTCCTTTGCCGCTCTTTCCTGTACTTGGGCCAACCCCAAGGAGCACAGTACAACTGCAGGCTGTATCACTTGGACCACAAGACCCTGCCCGATGGCCCATCTACCTATTTGAACCACGAGCGTCCGTTGATCGATCATGGTGAGCCCATTGGTCAGTACTTTGAGAATCAGTGCGAGAAGGCAGCCGGTTCTGGAGCTGGTTCTCCACCGGGAACTCTTGACAAGATCGATACACTGCCCGTAAGCCTGGACACCATTGAGGATCCTAACCTAACCAACTTGACCCGCAATGACGTGAACTGCGACAAGACCGGAACTTGCTATGATGGTTAGTCTTTTGTGAATTTAAGAAGAATCGTTTTTATAATAATCGTTGATTTCCCCTTCTAGTTTCCGTACACTGCAAAGACACCAGGATTGCCGTCCAGGTACGCACCAACAAACCCTTCAACGGTCGAATCTACGCTTTGGGACGCTCGGAGACCTGCAACATCGATGTCATCAACTCGGATGCCTTCCGTTTGGATCTGACTATGGCTGGACAGGATTGTAACACGCAGAGTGTGGTACGACATCAGCATAAATGAAGAGAAACAACGCCAATCAACTTTGTTCTTTGTTTTTTCTCAGACTGGTGTCTACTCCAACACTGTGGTTTTGCAACATCACAGCGTGGTGATGACCAAGGCCGACAAGATCTACAAGGTGAAGTGCACGTACGACATGAGCTCCAAGAACATCACCTTCGGCATGATGCCCATCCGCGATCCGGAAATGATCCACATCAACTCTTCGCCGGAGGCCCCACCACCAAGGATCCGCATTCTGGACACACGACAGCGCGAGGTGGAGACTGTGCGTATTGGAGACCGTCTGAACTTCCGCATCGAGATTCCCGAAGACAGTGAGTGTGGGAAAAGAGGGCACCAAGGAGCTCTATTTATAAAATGTGTCTATATCGAACAGCTCCCTATGGCATCTTTGCTCGGTCTTGTGTTGCCATGGCCAAGGACGCCCGCACCAGCTTCAAGATCATCGACGACGACGGCTGCCCCACCGATCCCACCATCTTCCCCGGCTTCACCGCCGATGGCAATGCCCTGCAGTCTACATACGAGGCCTTCCGATTCACGGAGAGCTACGGTGTAATTTTCCAGTGCAATGTCAAGTACTGCTTGGGACCCTGTGAGCCAGCTGTGTGCGAATGGAACATGGAGTCATTCGAATCCCTGGGCAGAAGGCGTCGTCGTTCCATCGAGAGGTAAGTTGGATCTTAGGTTGGCCAAGTAATCCGAAAATATAATCACATTTTCCTTGCAGCAATGAGACCAAGAGCGAGGACGATATGAACATCTCCCAGGAGATTCTGGTCCTGGACTTTGGCGATGAGAAGCGAGAGTTCTTTAAGGCAGATCCCAGCACGGACTTTGCCAAAGGTTAGTGGTGAAGAGAGTGCAGCTGATGCAACAATACTGACTGTACCTCCCTTTCGTTTTACAGACAAAACCGTCACCATTATCGAGCCCTGCCCCACGAAGACATCGGTGCTGGCCCTCGCGGTCACCTGTGCGCTGATGATCCTGCTCTACATCTCCACTCTGTTCTGCTACTACATGAAGAAGTGGATGCAGCCACACAAGATCGTAGCATAAGCGGAGCTTAAGGAGCGAAAACTGAAACGCAAGATGAAACAGCAGAATAGAACGAAAAAAGAAAAACAAGAAAGAAAAGAAAACAAAAAGAAAATACACAACAAAATTGTCACTCACACACACATATGCTCTCTCTCTCACACACATACACACGAACACTCTGAATCTATCGCTTTGTCTCGCTCTTGCCCCGGTGGGCGTAGCCCCTCCCACTCACACTCACACACACCCACACTACTGACAACCGTATAATTTTTTGTTTTTTTTTTTTTAATGATATACATTTAAATTAATTACTTAATATACAATTTATTTATTTATATTTATTTAGACTTAGAGCGTGAGATACAAATTCCCCCGAGAGCAAAGAAACGAAACCATTTCCTAGTAGACACACACACACACTTACACACAAGCACATTTCACGTATGCAAATTTGTAAGAAAAAAAGAAACGAAAATGAAAAAGCAAGAAGGAAAAGTTGCGAGCGCGTACTTTCTATAAAGTTACGAAAGGGAATGGAAAGAGAATTGAAACATTGTCCTTGCCAGAAAAAAGAGGGAGAGAGCGAATGATAGGGCAGATGAGTGGGATAGAGAGAAAGAGAGATAGGACAATGGATCATGATCCCTTTTGTAACTTCTATAGAGACTGCAGCCGCACACACTCGCACTCAATGACACAGAAACACACTCACACACACCTCCACACACACCCATTTCCACACTCATTCACACACAGACCCACACACGCCCTCACATTTATTTAATTGTAAACAGAACGCAATAACAGTAAACAAAAGCAATCAAAACGGAACTAAGAATAATTGATCGAAGAAGCAGAGACAAGGAAAGTAATTTCAACGATAGCAAATCAATGGAATTGTGCTTAATTGTATTGCATTTATTTAATTTAAATTTATTTATGATAATAAAGAAACGATAATGACATATTCGGATAATTTGTTGTACATATATTTTAAAAGTAAAACTGCATAGTTTTGTATGCATATAATTTTGAATTTCAAATAGTAGGAGAAGTACATTTGAATGTAATAGCAATCGTAAATCTAATCAATATTATTTGTCACCTTCCTTTTATTTAAAATTATTTAAAAGTTTTGATAAAGAGAACACGAAAAATGTGGGACGTGAAGCAGAAAGAAGATCTTTGAGAAAGCTGTTTTACCGTAATCCTCTACTTCGCTTCTGAGCTTTTAAGTTCTTTCAGTTTTACAGTTGACATGCTTGTGGCTACACTTTTAAATTGCATTCGTGCATTGTTTTTGGTTTTAAAGAGTGTTAAAAATAGATAAAATAATACCTAAAATGTGATCGAAGGTTTAGGTTTCGAGTTTTGTTCAATACATATTGTTCTCATGGTGAAATTAACTACTCTCTATGCAAAAAGCAAACGGTGCTCCGCGGGACAAGTTGAAATGTATGTGTGCGCGTCCACATGGTCGTACTTATAAATGTAAGTATGTATGTATATATGCACATTTTTAAGAAAGTATGCGTCTTGTTTTGAAAAAACTAGAGCTAAGAAACGGCAACAAAATTGAGCTCTCCGCTGTCAAAAGGAGTAACCTTGACCTTGGGCGCAAAAAAAATCAGTTTTTTAGCCATAGCACAGCCAAAAATGGTCCAAATGACGAATGTAATACCTAAAAAGGCTCGTAATTTGATTGCCATGATTCCCAATTGATTTACATTCAAATCTGGGAAACTTCATTTTTGGCCCATTTTTGAAAATGTTGATGATGGTACCCCTTATAAAAAATGCGAAATTTGGGCCAAAATTGATTTTCCCAAAATCGAAAAACGAGTGATAGGGGTGGTTAGTATTGGTCGTTAGCAGCACAAAACAGTCGTTCTTTTGGCTGTGCGTCTTGTTTTGACCGAGATAGAGCTAAAAAACCGAAAATAATGTTGCAAATTTCTGTTAGAAATCGGTTTCCTGATTTTTTTGCCCTTAAAACAGAGCTCGCACCAAAAAATCAAAACTATATTTATAAAAGCAAGTATAGGGGTTTAAAGTTTTGGTTGTTAGCTGCATAAAACAGTCATTGCTGCGGCCATGCGTCTTGTTTTGACAAAGTTAGAGCTAAGAAACGGCAACCAAACCGGGATATCTGCTGTCAAACGACGTATACTTAATTTGTGGCGCAATAAAATCAGTTTTTAAGCCATATTACAGCCAAAAATCGTCCAAATGAAGAATGTAATACCTCGTAGGGCTCGTAATTTGATTGCTATGATTCCCAATTGATTTGCATTCAAATCTGGAAAACTTCATTTTTGGGCATTTTTTGAAAATTTTGATGATGGTACCCCTTATCAAAAATGCGAAATTTGGGCCAACATTGACTTTCACAAAATCGAAAAACGAGTGATAGGGGTTGTTAGTATTGGTCGTTAGCAGCACAAAACAGTCGTTCTTTTGGCTGTGCGTCTTGTTTTGACCGAGATAGAGCTAAAAAACCGAAAATAATGTTGCAAATTTCTGTTAGAAATCGGTTTCCTGATTTTTTTGCCCTTAAAACAGAGCTCGCACCAAAAAATCAAAACTATATTTATAAAAGCAAGTATAGGGGTTTAAAGTTTTGGTTGTTAGCTGCATAAAACAGTCATTGCTGCGGCCATGCGTCTTGTTTTGACAAAGTTAGAGCTAAGAAACGGCAACCAAACCGGGATATCTGCTGTCAAACGACGTATACTTAATTTGTGGCGCAATAAAATCAGTTTTTAAGCCATATTACAGCCAAAAATCGTCCAAATGAAGAATGTAATACCTCGTAGGGCTCGTAATTTGATTGCTTTGATTCCCAATTGATTTGCATTTAAATCTGGAAAACTTCATTTTTGGGCATTTTTTGAACATTTTGATGATGGTACCCCTTATCAAAAATGCGAAATTTGGGCCAACATTGACTTTCACAAAATCGAAAAACGAGTGATAGGGGTTGTTAGTATTGGTCGTTAGCAGCACAAAACAGTCGTTCTTTTGGCTGTGCGTCTTGTTTTGACCGAGCTAGAGCTAAAAAACGGAGCATAGTATTGCAAATTTCTGTTAAAAATCGGTTTCATGATTTTTTAGCGCTTAAAACAGAGCTCGCACTAAAAAATAAGAACCATATTTATAAAAGCAAGTATGGGGGCATTAAGTTTTGGTTGGTAGCTGCATAAAACAGTCACTGTTTTAGTCGTGCGTCTTGTTTTGACAAAGTGAGAGCTAAGAAACGGCAACAAATCCGAAATCTATACTGTCAAAAGGCGTATTCATTATCTAGGCCACAAAAATATCAGGTTTTTTGCTATAGCACAGCCAAAAATGGTCCAAATAGGGAATATAATACCTCGTAGGACTCGTAATTTGATTGCTGTGATTCCCAATTGATTTGCGTTAAAATCTGGAAAACTTAATTTTTGGGCATTTTTGAAAATTTTGATGATGGTACCCCTTATCAAAAATGCGAAATTTGGGCCAAAAATGATTTTCCCAAAATCGAAAAACGGGTGATAGGGGTGGTTAGTATTGGTCGTTAGCAGCACGAAACATTCGTTCTTTTTGCTGTGCGTCTCATTTTAACCAAGTTAGAGATATAAACCCGATCAAAAATATGGTCAGTTATGTTAAATCTCTTAATCCAGATTTTTGCACCAAAATTTCTCCCAAAAATGACAGTGTTAATAAACTAGAGAAAGAGTCTGCAGGTTTTTAGTTAGAATATTCTTTATTTACTCAAATTTAATTGTATAAATGCAGTTTTATCCATAATAAATTGCTAGAAAGATATTAAAATCTAACATTCTTTTGAGGACGGAGTCTGGTGGAGCTGTAATGCTAGTGTTGCAAGAATGCTTACACTACTTTCGAATTCAGCGAAACGGGTTGATCTCGATAATCGATCGAAATTGGTCGAGTTTTAGATGGGTTTCAGAGTAAATACGCTCAGACTTTACGAATTCGGTTGGAAAGAATGTTTGGGTCACCCCTGATTGCAACAACTAGGCTAAGCTACAAACTAAGATGAGTGGTGGGAGGATTACACACCTTTAGGAGGATACTACTACCTCCCCTTGCACATGGATGTCATTAATTACTAGTTACTGAGCTGGCTTAGCTGCTTGGTCAACATATCCAACAGCCGAGGTCACCTCAGCCGCAGCGGCTTAATTTCAGCCAAACCATGTTCCGGGGCTCGGGACTTGGCTGCCGCCACGCAGGTCTCCTTCAGGGACTTGCCTGCCGGACGTTTAACGCATTCATCAAAATAGCATTTCTCCACGTTGTGCAAGAACTCCACCAGTAGTCGTTCATCGCCGCCATTGGGTCCCACAGAGTATTCACACTCGTAGCTATGCTGCTTGAGATCCCTGACACAGCAGTCGATAAACTCTGCATTGGCGGAAAACCAATCGTTGTGGCGCTCGAGGGGAATACCCAAACGGGTCCGCACTACCCCTGTCAACCAGGTGTCGTCGATCCAAAATATGGACACCCTTTCTGCCTCCGCCACAATCCTCTCGGCCGTGGCAACATTGGTCACGTATAACCATCCGGACAAATATGCGGGATAAAGGGCATGCGGATACTCCTTTTTGCTAACGTACCACTTGTTGGCACGCAGGCGAATGGGGGGCTTGGCATCCAGCACATAGCCGGAAAGCAGAGTGCTAGAAGTGGCCAGTCCTGGTTGGCCCACTTCGAGGGCCTCCAAGTACCTGCGCAGATGGAACACATCGTAGATGATGTCGTCGTCCAGTTTTATGATAAACTTGGCCTGCTTCTTGCACTCTTGGGAGGCCCACTTAAGTCCCATTACGTGCTTGTAGCTCAGGTTGCGATAGTCCTCGATGAAGTTTCCCTGGAGCAGATCCCCAAACCGCTGTTGCTCGCTGATCAGTTGATCTTGGCTGATAAACTTCTCTCGGGGAGGTAGGGCCGCTAGGAGAAAGACTCTTTGCAGCCCCATCTCGGCCAGTTTACTTTGAGGAATCGCCTGCCGGTGGGCAGATCGAAGGGCATCATGTCCGGCATATGAGGTCACAATCAGAACGGCTAAACGAGACAGACATAGAGGATTATGATAGTTTTAAAAAACTTATTATTAATTTACTAACTTACCCAAGAGTTCCCTTTCCGCCTTTCGGCAAACATTGCTTGCTAGCAAATACTGGAAATTTGTAAGATTTAAGAGGGGATTAGCTGGGGGCAGGTGGATGGGGCTAGAGGGATCCTCCTCCGCTTCAGGCGGCAAGTGTAGCAGGAACTCGTCATCGGGGGATTCCCTCGAATCCCTCAACTGGCCCGAAAAGTAACAGAGACTCAGCAAGACGATCAAGAGTAGCGACAGGATAATCGGAAGCAATCTTCGTCCGCGCATGCGCATCTTTCTCACATTCTACGTGGGATTCCCCTCGCACTCTCCCGCCTGTATCTGTGTTTTTTTGTGTGTGTCAGTAATTGCTTGCTTACAACAATAAAGCAGCAGCAACTGTTCACTATAAATTAACAAACAATAATAATAACAACAAAGGTCTGTTTTTTTTTGTACCAATTATTTTCACGCCTTTGCCAGTGTTCACATATACAAATTTCCGTAGCTCAGACAAAAACCATGTAACCCTATAAACTTACTAAGTGCATATCCCAACCAGCGGTGCCAAACCCAAAAACTATCGATTATTTCTTCCAATTCTAGCTGTTGTGCTGTTGCTGTATAAAGATTAGGCGTTTTTCAACTTTAGGATTCAACATTTTTTACGGGCAAGCTTAGGATCTTTTCTTTTCCACAGAAAGACATTATTACTATAATCGATAACAATTTCAACAATATCCTTTTAAAGATAGGCTGATCCGTATGGCCAAAAATTCATTATCGTTATCAGTATTTCGTTGAGAAAGGGATTTTGAAAATACGGTTAACTAATATTTTTGAATTTGGGGGAAAGTCCATTTCATCATCTGGTAACACTGTGTGTTATTGTGCTCTACGCGGTGTGTGCGAGTGTGCGTGTGCGTGCGTCTCCAACACAGTAGTGTGTCTGTGCGTGTGCTTTTCTTTATATATTTTTTAATAATAATTCTTCTGAACTTGCCTCTTCTTCGGAAGTAGCCCTTAAAAAGAAGCCATAGAAATTAAAAGCAGTTGCATTGAGATTCGTCGCAGAATTGGGCATGAAAAAATAAGCTTAATAATTCCAAAATCAAAAAAAGTGACTGCAGCAGCAACCAAAACGCAGCAGCAGCGACGTCGGCAGTGTAACAACAACAATCTAGGTGGTGAAGAGAGAAAGAGAGAGAGAGCAATATTCGACAGCATGTGAGCTAATCAGCAAAGCAGCGATTTCTACAAACATTTTCTGCTTCTTAAGGCCACCAAAAAAAAAGAAGTGCTAGTAATTATTAATAATTTAGTTTATGATTTATTTAAGTGACGTCGCGTGTTTTTGCCTGCACAAAAATAAAAAAAAATAAAAAATAAAGGGAGAGAAGAAAAAACAGTTAACTGTGGCCACCAAAAAGCGCAGTCGACGTCGCTGCCGGCAGAGGCGGAGAGAAGAAGAAACAGAATAGGAAGAAGAAGAAAAGATTGAGAAGCTCCAAATTTTATATTAAATCATTCGTTATTATATTTTGTTTGTTTTGCTAAACCATAAAATCTGTGTAAAATAATTAAAAGTTCAAGAGAACAAAAAAGCAAAACGCTGCTGCTGCGCTGCCACTGCGACAGCAATCTTATCGCCAACAAAAATTATATTCCAGAGCCCCCAAATTGATGAGGGTTTCTTTTTTGGTCTAACCATGGAATATTGATTCTTATTCTGAAAAACAAGAAATATTAAGAGCGAATTGAAACGAAGTGAAAACTTCAGTGGAAAACAGGAAAAATGACCGACTTTGTGGAATTGATGAACAGTATGTCCAGTACCTTCAATAGCGACTGTGCCACTTCGACGGCGGAGGGCGGTACGCTGTTGAATATGGACTTGGCGGAGGACAAAACCCTCAAATGGCGCAATTTGGCCAATAACCAGTTTGCCTGCAAGGACAAGAAGCACAAAGACAAGGAGGATGAGCGCAAGGAGGCCAGGAATCTGGAGGAAATTGAGGATATTAAAGGATATTTGGCGGATGTTGTGGATGCCGCTGCTGTGAAGTTGGAAGAGGAAGCAGCAGCAGAAGCAGCTACGCAGGCAGCGCAGAGTGCTGAAAAAGCTGAAGAAAACGCAGAAAAACAAAAAGAAGAAGAAGAAGTAGCTAAAGAGGAAGTGGCACAAGAGAAGGAAGAAGAGGAAAAAGCCTTGGAAAAGGAAGCAAAGGAGAAGGAAAATGTGGAAGAGGCACCAGCAGCAGTAGCCATAACGGTAAAAGTGGAAAGCAGCGAGCAGGCAGAAAAAAGTGCAACAGAAGTCGCGGCAGCGGCAGTGACGTCTGAAGAGGGCGGCCAGAGTGAACGCATCAAGACTGAGCAGCGTAAAAAAGAGGCGGCAGCGCAGCAAGAAGAAGTAGCACCGGAGACAGCAGCAGCAGAAAAACAGGAAGCAAGTGCAGAATTAGCAACAACCACAATAACAAAAACATTACTAGCAACAACAATAACTGAAGCAGCAGCATCTCCACTTGTTGTCAATTCTGCCAGCGTCGACGTCGCTGCTGACGCAACAGACTCAAATTCGTGTGTGAACAGCGAGCAGCGGGCAGTGACGCCGTCAGAGGCAGCAGCTGATAAAAATGTAAGTAAATGTGTGTGTGAGCTTCGAAATGCTTTCGTTTGTTTGTTGTTTTTTTTTTGTGGTCTAATTTAGCAGTTGTGAACCCTAGAATGCACAGCTCTTAACCCTATATAAATCACTTATTTTCTAACAAATTAAGACTCACAGACCATGTTAGCGAGCACTGGTCGCGGTGGCCTTCGACTATACAAAACGTATGCATCTTTAAGTTTTTCTACAACAAAAACAATTATAAAGTTAAAAGTTAACGAACAATCTAAGCTTGAAGAAATTGTCCGGTTTTAGACAACCAGCATTAATACATACGTTTAAAGTAGCTATAATGGGTCTTTGGTTCACTTTTATTCCCAATCATTATCGGGCACTAGGTAACGAGTGGCTGCTGCGAATCATCATTAGGTGTAACGTATTAATCGATTAGCTTGGTGAGTTGTAAATTATAAAAGATATTCTTGAAAACAAAGAAAAGTTATTTTTATCCTATATAGTTAATACATTTTGATTAAAGGAGATAGGATTTGGTTAAAAGGAGATAGCAAGAGCTCCAAGAGTTGAAATAAAATAAAGAAGCTTAACGTTTCCCATGAGAGTATAAACATACTTCATCTGAAGATAAATAATAGATAGTTTTGCATAGTTCGAGGGGGATTTGTATACACATTTCTTGGTGAATTTGCATCCAAAACTAGGGGGGTTAAACCATCAATTCATTCATCCGTTCGTCCAGCTGGCCTCGTGTGTTTGGTAGAACCAGTTGTCTTGGCAACCGACAAAGCCATTAGAAGCATTCCTTCAGGGCTGGTCCTTCTGGACAGTATACCTAATACTGAGGATTTATTAAGTCCGGCACATTGAATGAGTGTCTGTATTTTGCAGGAACAAGTTTCACCAGGCGGAACGCGTCGTACTCGAAGAACACCGCGTCCCACAGATACGCCCACACTCAGTGGCACGCCCACTCCAACCACCGATGAACGTGTTCAGGTGGAAAATGCAGAAGCCGAGGCATCGGAGCTGCAAGTGGAGGTGAACCGTCAACAGGAGGAGCAAACGCTGGATGAGATTATAGCACCCGTTGGTCTGGAGGTGAAGAAGGAGCCGGAGAAATCGTCACGAATGACTACTTCATCCCCCGAGGAAATCACACAACCTGCTCCCAAACGTGGAAGGGGGCGAGCCAAGAAAATAAGGCCGGATGCCGAGGTAGACTCCAGTGATGTTCTGCCCCTGGTGGAGGATTCGGTGGTCGAGAAAAAGCCGGGACGTAAAAGGAAGCTGCCCGATGAGCAGTTGGATCATCAGCAATTAGGAGATTTTGTTGTGGTGAAAACCGAGAATGAAGAATTGGGAGAAGCTCCCTTGGGCGATGGCAAGAGGATGCGTCGCAGTGTCCGGTTAGGCAATCGCTTACCCGTCGATGGAAGCACCTGGGAGGAGGTTAAGGCAGAGCCACTTACACACCAGTCGTCTGGAGGGCTCTCGATGATGGAAGTTACTCCTGTACCCTTGCCACCAGCCATCCTGGATGAAAAGACTCCACCAAAAAAGCGAGGTCGCAAAGCAAAGATTCAGCCTGGTTTCAAATTAGAAACGGGACCCTCAACCTCGCATCCCTTAACCAATGGTAATAAGAAATCCATTCCCACTGGAGGATCCGAAATGCAACTGCCCAAGCGTTCGAAAAGGAGAATTAAACCCACGACAAAGATATTGGAAAACGATGAGCTGCGTTGTGAGTTCGAAACGAAGCACATTGAGAGGATGACCCACTGGGAAAGTGCAGCAGCTGCAGCAGCAGCAGCAGGACAAGCAGATGGGGAATTCGAGACACCACCAACAGGCGCCGGTGGCTCCAATTCGTCCACCTCGAGGCAAAAGAGCGACAAGTCCGATGGCAGCAACTTCGAAGGAATACCGGGACATCCAGCTGGCACAAGTGCCATAAAGAAGCGACTGTTTTCCAAGTCCCAACGTGACATTGAGAACAGTGGAGCAGCTATTCTGGCCAAAAGCAAGGTGCGCCCGTGTCCGGATGTTGAGCAGTTCCTCAACGACATCAAGGCATCCCGAATTAATGCGAATCGATCGCCGGAGGAGAGAAAGTTAAACAAGAAACAGCAACGGAAACTGGCCAAGCAGAAGGAAAAACATCTGAAGCATCTTGGTCTGCAGAGGAATCACAGCGAGGAGGCCTCAGATAACGATAGCTCCAATACCGACAATGAATTTGTGCCTACGACAAGAGTGCAAGTAGGGAAACCGAGTGTTACTTTGAGATTGAGAAACACGGTTACCAAAGAACTGCCTTCAACGTCTGCAGCAGCCCAAAAATCGTCTCGGAATCCAATTGTACAGCCAGCTAAACTTACGAGAAGAGTAGGAGTAAGAGGATCCGCAGGAGGAACTGTGGCACCCGTAGCAGGTGTGGCCGTTTCCACTCTCGATGCGGAACAGCTTCACTCGCTCAACAATTCGATTCTAGCCGATGTTACGCCTATCCGAGACTTGGATTCTAGGCCCAGCACATCAAAAATGGCCAAGTTTATTTGTCTGTGCCAGAAGAGTTCCCAGTACTATGCCAGGAATGCCCCGGATTCCTCCTACTGCTGTGCCATCGATCACATTGACGAGCAGAAAATTGGCTGCTGCAACGAGCTCTCTTCAGAGGTTCACAATCTTCTGAGACCCAGCCAAAGGGTTTGCTATATGATCCTCTGTGACGAGCACAAGAAGCGCTTGCACTCCCACAACTGCTGTGCAGGATGTGGTATCTTTTGTACACAGGTAAGGAAATCTTATTTTTTGTTAGCTTCATTAAATTAACTTTTATTTTTGTACCCCTCATGTTTAGGGCAAATTCGTGCTGTGCAAACAGCAGCACTTCTTTCATCCGGACTGTGCCCAGCGTTTCATCCTGAACACGCCCTACGAGGAGGGACGTAGTGATCAGAACGATCATGGAGCCAAGGTCAGCAGTCCTATGTTGGTGCTTAAGTGCCCGCACTGCGGATTGGACACACCAGAGCGCACATCTACGGTGACTATGAAGTGCCAGTCACTGCCAGTCTTTCTGCCCACCCAGAAGTACAAAATGTAAGTGATTCCCACGAGGAAATAATATTTATTTACCAACAAATATTATATTTCCACACAGAAAACCCGCCAAGTTGACGACATCCTCGCATTTAGCCCAATTTGGAGCCGTTGGGAAATCCAGTAATCAAGGAGCCAAAGTTAAAAGCAAGGGTGGATCTTCTTCCGCCGTCACTTCGGTCGCAGCATCCTCCACGTTGAAGGCGAATGGAACGCAAAGGGGGAAGGTGGGAGGCTCCAAATTGAACTCCGGCCAGGCTCTTAACACGATCAACTTTGCACAGTTGATACCCGACTCCGTGATGAATGTAGTGCTGCGTGGACATGTTGTTTCAGCCAGTGGACGCGTGACCACAGAGTTTACCTCGCGGGATATGTTTTATGCGGTGCAAAACGATGACCTAGAGCGTGTGGCGGAGATTCTGGGTGAGTGATTGCACTTCACAAATAAGCCCACCTTTTCTCATGAACTTTTGTTTTTTGGAGCAGCTGCCGACTTTAATGTGCTTACCCCAATTCGTGAGTACTTGAATGGCACCTGTCTACATTTGGTGGCCCACTCGGGTACTCTCCAGATGGCCTACCTGCTGCTTTGCAAGGGAGCCAGTTCACAGGATTTCGTGAACATTGTAGACAGCGAACTGCGGACGGCATTGATGTGTGCGGTAATGAACGAGAAGTGCGACATGCTCAATCTCTTTCTACAATGTGGAGCCGATGTTGCCATCAAGGTTAATATTTCTTTTTGCGGCAATGATGTTTAGTCATACTAAAATGTGTATATTTTTAAAAGGGTCCCGATGGCAAGACGTGTCTGCATATCGCTGCCAAGTCGGGTAACGTGGAGGCCACTCAGTTGATTGTGGAAAGCTATCGGGCTTCGCGAAATATCACCAGCTTCCTGAGTTTTATTGATGCCCAGGATGAAGGCGGTTGGACGGCCATGGTCTGGGCAGCAGAGCTCGGGCATACGGACATCGTTAGGTGGGTTTATCATTGTGATATTTCTTAAGGATGATTAATAATGTTTACTTCCATAGCTTTCTGCTAAACCAAGAGGCCGATCCGAACATCTGTGACAATGACAACAATACAGTGCTTCATTGGTCGACACTGCACAACGATGGTCTGGACACGATTACTGTGCTGCTCCAGGCAGGGGCAGACTGCAATGTGCAGAATGTGGAAGGCGACACTCCTCTGTAAGTATAGTCGCACTCCCAACTAAGCATTGTATAAAAAATATATTTTTTTTAAATCCCCAGTCACATTGCTTGCCGACACTCTGTCACCCGTATGTGCATTGCGTTGATAGCAAATGGAGCTGATCTAATGATCAAGAACAAAGCGGAGCAGCTGCCCTTTGATTGCATCCCAAACGAGGAGTCCGAATGCGGTCGCACCGTTGGGTTTAACATGCAGATGCGTTGTTTTCGGCCACTGGGCCTTAGAACCTTTGTGGTTTGTGCAGATGCCTCAAATGGCCGAGAAGCACGACCCATCCAGGCAGTGCGTAACGAACTGGCAATGTCCGAGAACGAGGATGAGGCCGATTCCCTCATGTGGCCCGACTTTCGCTACGTAACGCAATGCATTATTCAGCAAAATTCAGTGCAGATCGACCGGCGAGTCTCTCAGATGCGCATCTGTTCATGTCCAGATAGCTGCAGTAGCGATCGGTGTCAATGCAATGGAGCCTCTTCGCAGAACTGGTACACCGCCGAAAGCCGCCTAACCGCCGACTTTAACTACGAGGATCCGGCGGTTATCTTCGAATGCAATGATGTTTGCGGCTGCAATCAGGTGAGGCTTAGGAGTAATGACCTTTACATCTAATATATTATATTTATGCTGGTCTATTTTATTCCTGAAAAAGCTCTCTTGCAAGAACCGCGTAGTACAAAATGGCACAAGGACACCTCTGCAAATTATCGAGTGCGAGGAGCAGGCGAAGGGCTGGGGAGTTCGGGCCTTGGCCAACGTGCCGAAAGGTACGTTTGTGGCCAGCTACACTGGTGAGATTCTGACCGCTATGGAGGCTGATCGTCGCACTGATGACAGCTATTACTACGACCTGGACAACGGGCACTGCATAGATGCCAATTATTATGGCAATGTGACCCGGTTCTTTAACCACTCGTGTGAGCCAAATGTTTTGCCCGTTCGCGTCTTCTACGAGCACCAGGACTACAGATTCCCCAAGATAGCATTCTTCGCCTGCCGCGATATCGATGCCGGCGAGGAGATATGGTAAGTCTATTTTGGATTATTTTATTTGGTTGTTCTCAACTTATTGTGAAAAGCAAAAAAAAAGTAGAGAATCTATGAAGGTGTTAGAAAAGTTCAAAAACTTATTAAATGAAATTGTTAACTATCGGATCATATAGAAACATAGGAACTTTCATATATATTCTCTAGAAATGTCCCTACCTTGAATACCCTTGGATATTTTTATTTGCTTCGTTTTAGTTACGACTACGGGGAGAAGTTTTGGCGCGTAGAACACCGGTCCAGTGTGGGCTGTCGCTGTCTGACGGCCTCCTGCAAGTACGCCTCCCAATCCTCAAGCACAAATGCCTCGCCTACGGATACAGCGGAACCGGAAACGGAAACGCAGCCATCCACAATTGCCTCCGAGGAGATGGAGCAGGCGTAGGCCTCCAAGACCTCAACTCGAAATGATTCCAGACTATTCAGTCTCAGACGACAAAACAGAATCCCCCACCAAGCCACCACTAACCAGATACATCAGACATCTGACATCACATCACCAGCAGGAACGATCGCCATATATTTAGTATATATACGATTATATCGTATGCATGATAAATCGAAATTGACGCCCAACGAGGGGTTTCCTTTTCGACTGCCAAATGTTTCATGGTTTACAAATTTTTGTCTAATTTTAATGTTTGATTAATATTAATTTTGTTTGATTTTTTATTCATTTGTTTACCCTATTATTAATATTTTTATTACCGCTACCTGTAATCAGCTAATATTTTTTTTTGTTTTTTTATGAGAAACTAAATGCCATGTGCAAATCCCAATCCCCTCCCGGAGTTTTGGGCGTGTGTGTGCGTGCGAAATGTAAATGTTTAACACTTAAAATTAGATTAAGGGAAACTGGGAAAATGGACAAATATAATCGCGGAAAAGTGCATCTAGTCATAAGAATGAGGGAGACAGAGGTTTAAATGAAAGAGAGAGAACAGTCTCTAGAATCAGAATCAGCGCGTTTATAGTTTTTTGTTTTGGCATGTTTAGAAAATCAATGAAAAGGCTTTTAATGTTTGCTTTTAAGTACTTTTAACACAAGAACATCTTTATTTCGAACACAAAATATAATTATTATTAAAATGCACTGTTCCGAGCAAGTGAATGTAACAATAAACCAAAAGTAAACGAGGAATTTGTAAGCGAACGAATGTTTTTGATATCAAGCATTGATTTAGATTAGTATATATGTATCTGATAAGCTAAAGAAACAGTGTCTATACAACCATTTAATATATATTAAACATGCATATAAGTATGTATGTGTTTGTGCAGGGTAAAGTACTGATAGTAGTTAACAGAAAATAAGTTGAAGTTGTTTTGTATTTAGTCACACCCCCGCGCACACACCCCAACTGGATATCACCTCCTCTTTCCAATCCATTATCGGAAGCATTATAATGCACAATTCGTATTAGAGTTTTTCAGTTTGCCAAGCAACGTTAGCCAAGCCACAAGTGCCTCGAAGAGAATAACACCCTAGACCTCACTCCTTACTCCTCGCTCCCTATAGAAAACCACCCGATATGGCTTCAGACCAAAAAGGTTACATACAGGAATTATCTATCCAGCTATCACTCGACCAAGATCACAAACTGCTATGCATTTTGAGACATGAACCCTCGATAGTCGACAGAGAATTGAAACGACGGACTGCGGTTTACTTAATGAGGGAGTTATCCGATTCCAGCCGATCATTAGATGTATGTATTAGAGATCCAACCCTGATATCATATCCCCGCGTCCAACGATCCCCCGAGTGCTATATGAACTTGGATATCGGGCTATAAAACTTTGAAGTGTGTTTTACGTCTATAGGTGTAAGCTGTAAATGTTTGTAACGACAATATAGGAGCATGTAGCTTAAGATGTAGGTTATCCCCCATCCTTCTCACCCATTCCCCTTTCCCCACTCCCTTTCGCCACAAGGTATCAGGGGTCAAAGGACATAAGACGTCCCCCTGAGACTTATCAACTGGCATTTCTATAAATACGTATTTGTGTACCTACGATAAGCAACAAGATTTTTATTGAATATGTACGGTTTCGATGTCCCCGGAGCTATAACATCCGGATCACACTTAGAAATTATAGCATAACTCACAAAACACGTATGTTTTTAATTATCTTAATTGTTATTGCGGACAGCAAAAGAATTGTCATTTAATTTGTTTTGTTTGCTTTTTGTATTTTTTATTTGCAAAGATATTCTTTGAGTTATTTAGCACAAAATTGCTTATTAGTTGGAATATCGAAAGTATACCTCCATGGGAGAGGCACATTTCATTTCGTTTAGTATTAAGATAATAATTAAATCAAATAAACAATAAATACAAACAGCAGATTCGGTGCGATCAATAAACAAATATCAGTGTGCAGAAAAGTTGCCTCCTTTATTATTACGACTTGCGAGTCAAGCTCATCTTAACACTAAGAAGCATATTTGTGGAGCTCTATTAATTGGCAGTTGATACAGTTTGAATTTTAAATTTAAGCGCCCAAAATATCGCAGTGTTGCAATGCTGCAATGTTGCCACTTGGTCAACAAGCCGGAAAATTATCGAATATAACAGCTGATTTATTGTTTTGTAATATTGCAGGTTGGTTTTGGTGTCTCTCTATTTTATTAAAATAAATTGTTTAATAACTTATTTCTGTTTTTAAGGCGGCTGCAAACGATTGAAAAGTTGAAGCTCTAACAGAAAACCAATCGAACCCGCCAGTGACAGCGACCGCGAAAGTTGGAAAACGAAAGCACGCCGAAATCTAGAGAACCGGCTAGGCGAAAACACTGCCAATCACCAGAAAGATGAGTTTCCCGGACAAAGCGGAGCGCACCAAGTGCTGGAGCAACCGAGATGAGTACTGGAAGTGTCTGGACGAGCATGCTCCAAAGCACAGCTCCACCAGCGGGGAAAAAGTACCCTCCGCCTGTCAGAACCTCCGCAAGTTATTTGAGCAATCCTGTCCTGGTCAGTGGGTCAAGCATTTTGATCGCAAGCGAACCTATGAGCAGTTTAAGGAGAAGATGGCCCAGGGCTATGATCCCCTCGAGGAGCGTACTAAGGGCGAGAAGCAGACCAAGTGATCCTGATCCGGTCCAGGATTGCAGGAGCACCCGGAGGTATTCAGTCATCATCGGTGTTTTTGTACTGTTGTAGGGTAGTGTAAATAAAAAACCCATCTAGCTATATGACTACAAATGGAGATCTCTTTAATTCGGATTTACACGAGGTACGGAAAACTACATTTATATTTTCCTCAATGACTTAAAGTATCCCACTTTATTAATTTATATGTATATATAAGCTTTAAAAGGAACTTTTAGAGCCAATTATTTTAAAAACGATACATATATTTATTTATTTTATAAACATTTTTTGCCCTTGATAGGGTTAAAGCTCCAGCCATCGAAATCAGTGTTTACACACCACAATTCAGTAATCGCTTATCGATAACCACCCAAAGCAAAAAGTTGGCGTGCTAATTTATGTATTGTATTCAACAATTTAATTGTCAGTTTGTCAGTGGGATCAGTTGAAACCGGTGCAAATGACGTAATGGAGTCGATTACTTTTGGAGTACTAACCGGTGAGTGGCACCAAGTCCCCCAAAATATCTGATAACACGTCTATTCTGTGTCCCTAGTTAGTGACACCTGTTGGCAGGACCCGGCGAAGGATAGAAGTGGTCCCAGGCTAAAGCAAATGATCAGCGATTCTTTTGCCAACAGCCATGTAATAGGAAGTGTAGTTCCGGATGAAAAGGATGTCATCCAGCAAGAGCTGCGCAAGTGGATCGATATGGAGGGGTTACGAGTGATTCTAACCACCGGCGGAACCGGATTTGCACCACGGGATGTGACTCCAGAGGCCACAAGGCCGCTGCTAGACAAGGAGTGCCCTCAACTGTCGTTGTACATTACGCAGGAATCCCTAAAAAAGACTAAATTCGCTGCTCTCTCCCGTGGCATCTGTGGAATTGCACGAAATACCCTGATCCTTAACTTTCCCGGCAGTGAGAAGGCCGTAAAAGAGTGTTTTGAGACCGTGGAGGAAATCCTCCCCCATGCCCTTCATCTTATTGGTGATGAGTTAAACCTTGTGCGAAAAGTCCATGCAGCTGTTCAAGGATCCACGCATAAGGGACACATTTGTCCCCATAAAACTGGGAAAGGTACTGATTCTGATCGCAATTCGCCCTTCCCTATGTTGCCCGTCCAGGAGGTACTCTCCATAATCTTTAACACTGTTAAGTGGCCCAACAAACTAGACCAGATACTCTGGCAGCTCAAATCTCCGGTTAACATACCACCCTTCCGAGCATCTATCAAGGATGGCTACGCCATGAAGTCCACTGGATTTTCGGGAAGCAAGCGTGTTTTGGGCTGTATAGCCGCCGGTGATGCAGTGAGTCCCGTTTATGAAGTTATCGGAACTCTATTTTTATTTTCCATCTGTTTTTCAGCCAAATTATTCGCCACTGGCAGAGGACGAGTGCTTCAAAATAAACACCGGAGCGCCGTTGCCGCTGGAGGCGGATTGTGTGGTGCAGGTGGAGGACACCAAGCTGCTGCAGCGTGACAAGCACGGGCAGGAAAGCCTGGTTGACATCATGGTGGAGCCACAACCTGGCTTAGATGTGCGGTAGGTATTCCTTCGGTTCCTTCGGTGAATCCAAATGACACATTTCTTTTTTTCTTAAGGCCCGTGGGACATGATCTGAGCACTAATGATCGTATTTTCCCTGCTCCAGATCCCTCGTCCGTGGTGGTCAAATCGTTGCTAGCCTCCGTGGGCCATAGGTTGGCTTTACCCAAACCCAGGGTGGCTATAGTATCTACTGGAAGTGAGCTGCTAACTCCTCGCGAACTGCCTTCTCCGGGCAAGATTTTCGACTCGAATACTACCATGTTGTCGGAACTGCTGCTCTACTTTGGTTTTGACTGCATGCACACGAGTGTTCTAAGCGATAATTTCGAACAGACCAAGGAGACGCTGTCTGACCTTTTCGATGTGGTGGACTTTGTCATTTGCAGCGGTGGTGTCTCAATGGGCGACAAGGATTTTATAAAGCCCGTACTGGAGGACCTTCAATTCAAGCTTCACTGTGGCAGGGTGAACATGAAGCCGGGGTAAGATACCCTCAATAGAAAATACATTCCCAAAATGTTCTATCTGTACCTTTTCACCCCCAGCAAGCCCATGACTTTTGCCAGCCGCCATGATAAGTACTTCTTCGGCCTGCCCGGTAATCCAGTGTCTGCCTTTGTCACTTTCCACCTGTTCGCCCTTCCCGCCATTCGTTGGGCAGCTGGCTGGGATCAGTCCAAGTGCTCCCTGCCTGTGATCAATGTGAAGGTAGGTTTCGATTTGATTTAACCATATTGCGAAATCGTGAGTGGCGACATACTATTGTGATTGATGATGGCTATCATCTGGCAATGAATTAGATGATTCCAGATTGCTGTAGGTCGTCGTTTCTGACGCTATTTGTTTACCTGACACTTTTGCTTTCGAGTGGAGCGCGTTATCTGCTTGCGATAAGAAATAGTTTGTCAACTCACCTTAATTGCAGGGTGCTTGGGCAAATGCGGAAGTTCTTTATGTCATTTTTTAATAAATATCAAATGATTTCTAAACTAGTTTAAAGGTTTTACTTTAAGCCACTTTTGTAATATTTTAATTTAACCAACATCTTTGAAATCCTTTTGCAGTTGCTCAACGACCTTAGTTTGGATAGCCGTCCAGAGTTTGTTCGCGCCACAGTGATTTCGAAGTCTGGAGAGCTTTACGCCAGTGTCAATGGAGATCAGGTAAGCCACAAGCCCCCAGAAATAACGCCATTTGATTACCACTGTTGTGTACGAATCCCAGATAAGCAGTCGCTTGCAAAGCATTGTGGGTGCGGATGTGTTGGTAAATCTGCCCGGACGTACCTCTGATCGCCCGTTGGCAAAAGCTGGCGATATTCTCCCTGCCTCCGTGCTGCGCTACGACTTTATCTCGAAGTACGAATAGGAACTGCAAGAAGTCCCACAACCCATCGAATGTTAGATGACAGATAACAGAACACGCCTTCGTAGATTAGCACAAAGATTTATTTTTTCATATATCGCAACATTACGTACAATGTCCATTAATTACACCTTAGCAGTGTGTACAAAAACGAGTATAAAATATTATTATAAAGGCCTTCCTAAAGGAAGAAATATCATCAAACAAAAATAATTTGCAGATAGAATAAAACAGAGAACAGTATCTGGAGCGGGATAAGTTCAAGAGACGGGGATCGGAATCAAGATCAGGATCAGGATCAGGAGCATATATACAGGAAGTGGAAGGTGGTGGATTTCAAACCGACTGAGTGGCTGTTTCGCCGACGGGTGAAGCTACGGGTCTTTGGAGACGCAGCGAGGAGCGGCATGGCAACGTGAATTGGTACTTGTTGTGGCTCAGGAGCGGATAGCGTTGTTGCGGGGCAAAGTCCCACAACGCCCGCTCGATCACCTGCAGGGATCCCGGACTGAGCACGTCCGCCGTATACTGTGTGGGAGCTCCAGCAGTGGACGACATGGCTGCAGAGAATGGTGAAATATGTAAATTATGCATATTATGTGCCTTGTTAAAAAAAACTCACTCTGCGCCACTGGGGCCTTGTACAATGACTCCGCGGTCATGCCGCAAGTGTCCAAAGCCACCACGCTGACGCCGTAGGGCTGCAACTCCTTGCGCAGCTCTTCGGCGCACTTATCCACTGCCACGCGGGAGGCATTAAAAGCCACCAGGCCATCGCCACCTGTTCGAGCAGCTCCACTTCCTCCTCCGCCTCCCAAATATAGAAGCCTTCCACGTGTTGGACGCAGGAAGCCCACAAAGGCCTTGGCCACACGCAGTGTGCCCAGGATATTGGTCTTAAGCATGTGTTCCCACTGTTGGACATCCTGGGACTCAACCTTGCCCCGGAAGACGCTGCCACTGGTGTTTATAACGGCCGCAATACCCCTCTCGTCGGCATTCAAGTGCGCGCCCATGGCAACGGTGGCTTCACGTAGCACATCCTCGCGGGTGACATCCAGTCTCATTGGGATAATAGTGCCCGCAATGGGTTCCTCACTGTACTCCCTGATCTTCATCCAGCCGCAGAGGAGTTTGGCGGGTAGCGAATCGTGAGCCTCCTTCATTCCAGCGAAAACCCGGCATCCCTTGTTGGCCAAATGGGTGCACAGTTGGAGGCCCAAAGCGGTATCCGCACTGGTGACCAGGACAACCCGACTGGGTTGGGAATCCGCACTGGCTGAGGCGCTATCCTCCCGCACCTTGCAGATCAAGTAGATAAGCAGCGCACCGGCGATTGAGAAGAGCGCCAGCAGCTGGAAGGCCAACACCAGCATGGTCATTGGCTCCATTATGACATCGCTGCAATTGGATTAAAGAGAAGATTTTCAGGTGAGTCAATAGAAAATATTTTGATTAAACTGGAATTCATCCATCTGATAAGATCGCCAAATAATATGATAGCTCGCGGGTTTCCGCGACAGCATTCTTTAGACCGGCATATTTGCCATTTTAATAAGCACCTTCTTGGCTCTGTTTAAACGTGGTTGCCACCCAAAATCAATTGACACTTCGGCTGACAATCTTTCGCTTGTCTACTGAGTTGAGAAGCTGAAGCTGATGAAATGGGAAAATATTGAAAGATTAAATTGAAATCGTAGTTAGCGCTTAAGTCTAATTGTACTCCCAAAGACAATGCAAAAACTTAAGACTAACCTTTTGCAGATCAAAGTAGTTAGGCCTAGCAAGGAGGGTAGTTTAGTATAGTTTATGTAATCCCTTGAGAGCTTTGCGGATTGGATCTATCATTGATATCCTAACCCCAGTGCCTGAAAACTCTCCCGTCCCAGACGAGGGGTTTCATCACCCTCTTGAGTTTGGTAACCAGACACTGCACTTCGCAATGGATGGAGTGGATGTATCTATGGCGTGGATATGTCTACAGACGTATCCATGCCAATCTTTTGGCATTTTCACTTTAATTAAGACTCGTTAGGCTGCCGACGCATCGAGTAACAACTTTACGCTTGCCTTGCACTCTTTTCTTTCTTTCTATTTAATACGCTTTAATTATTGCACATTTTTCGACGAGTTTTTAACAATTTACGCCCGGTCCGGGCCCTCGAAGAAATCGAAAAAGTTCCAAAAGGGGGCGGGGAGGGGGAACGGCAGATAGATAGCCATCCAAGTATCTGTGGATCCATGGACACGACACACGAACGTGGCCAGCGAGCCGTGTCCACTTCGAGTCTTCCATGCATTTGGCAATAAATTATGTCTACGTGCTTCTTGGCTTTCCACTGCTGAGTAGCGGGAATGGGAGGGGATTGGGATCGGGTGTGGGGATCTGCTATTTTGAAGGCGGAGGATGAACCGAAGTAAAAGTTGGAACCCAACCAACTGCAGTTTGAAAGCCGGAGCACGCCGTGATCTATGCCATGTCTTCTTCAGTGCGCGCCACTCAGCGAAAAAATCAGATCAGATCAGGCCAAGATTATCGAGTTAGGTTTTTCGAGTATAAGGTTTTCTTGATCTCATAACCTTTGTTTTTTGATGGGAATTATATTTCCCTTTTGGTTTAGTGATCATTGCCTTCAAGAGTCATGTGCAGTTTAAATGTACTCCCATGTAGGGTGAAGAGTATTTCTTTCGGTGCACCCACCATGGGTGCAGTTACTCGAGCGGACACTTTCCAGGTTCCGGTGGTTCCCCTTTGTTGCGCCACCCTGCTCTTTAAAATTTCACTGATGTGCAGAGCTGAAGAAGTTTGTTGACACGCGGAAATGGAAATGGAAATGGAAATGGGTTTGCCATATTTGCAGCAGCGCGGTTTTGGGTACGGAATTCGGGTGCGCGGGGTAAACGGAACTCGAGTCGCTTTTGGTCAAACCACCAATGCAGCGGCACTGCATCCGCCGACGGTTGCGTAATTAGACAAACAAACAGCGAAACAAGCAAATGCATTATGGTAACCAAACGATACCTGGAAATTAAAGAGAAAACGCAGGGAGAAAAGTTGAGGTTTAAAAAGATCTTTGGGAATAAGTTCGTCCATCATCGAACTGCAGTTTCGAGGTTAAGATATACGGGTTCTTTCCTATTACCAATTTTAAAGCTGGCTTAATGAAAATGTTCATTAGTCGAGATCTGTGGCATTGTCTTGGAGGCTCTCAGTTGCGCAAGTTGTTATGTCAACTGATCGGACAGTTCTAATAGATCTTGGAGCTTATGGTAGAGCTGCTGACCCACATTGAACACGATGCGAGGGTCTTTGACTTCGGCATCAATCAATTGGCCAATCATTCAATCAAGCCAATCATCAGGCAGTGAACCGAACCAAGTGTATCATTAGCCGCCGGTTGAATGTGTCAGTAATGAAGTGGGCCTACTCGACTTACTCCGATCCGATGCAATTATTCCGGAATTATCGGCATCGAACGGCTGGGAATGCGTGGAGTGTGCCGGTGACTCTGGCCGTGATTAGCAGATGGCTGTACCTGCGATTGGCACCAGTCACTCGTGTGCCACACGTAGTCTGTGAGTCTAGCTATCCATTGTGTTCCCCTACAATCTTGCATATCTTACATATATCTCACTTAGCTTACAGTATATCTTCTATCTCTATAAGCTATGCTCTGTGTTTCCTCTCTAGGCGGCTGTGAGTCAACATTATCTGAACTGTTGCTGATGGTCTTGACACTGCGCTAATTGAAATGTCACATAAATTAGATCTCTGTTAGGGCGAGCAGTCTTAAAGATGGCTAACTCATACCAAAGATGGCATTTTCGAAATGCATTTCATAATATTCTAATAATTTAAGCAATTTATTAAATATAACATATCAGCAGGTCTTAGCCGTCAGATCCTCTTCGTGATCTCTCAGATACGCAGTTATTAGATGCACATACAAGTCACATTTTTATGTAATAAACGCCCTCCTCACCTTTCATACAATTAGTAGCCCAAATGCCGCGAATCTTTCCCATGGGTAGTACATGTTTTCAGTTTCGAGGGGTTGGTCCAAAATCTGTTGGGCTGTTCAGGGTTGGGCTCGTCACTCGAACAAACGCTTTGTTTCTTGTTCGGGCCACGATTCATGCCTTACTCACTTCGAGTTGACTTCGAGGCAATGTCAGGTGAATACCAAAAACACAGGGGCGTACTAGCAGCAGTTAAGGAGGGGCTTCTGACAACTGACAAAGGAAAAGCACAGATTTGAAGTGCCATATTACTTCGCTCGTGCCAAATTCCATCCAGAATCCCATTGTTCTCCCCCGATGTACAGATTACCCCTCAGATTTAACGATCCCCTAGTACATAGACGAGTATGTAAGACCCCAGCTTATACATATACACATACATATACATATGTGCATTTGTACTTGCACACATGAGAAATATGTTAATTGCGACATTTGCCGATTTTGCTGTGGTCAGGCATTCATCGGCTTCGAGTTCGAGTTCGAGTTGGTTTTCTCATTTGTTTGGCTGGCTTTTGTTTTCTGTTTTCCTTGCTTTTGCTTTTTGTTAACATTCAACCCAAATATGTCAGGCAGTCGGCTGCCAGACAGGCATCCCAATGGCATCAGATGGATATCAATATGGCTGGCACTTGGCCTGGCCGTAAGCCCAATTATCTGCCTGGTCACATTACGTATACGCAGCTTGGCTGGGATTATAAATGCAGTTTGTTTAAAGTTCGGTTGCTTGATTAATGACCCCAGTTGTTGACTCGCTGAGGGGTGCTCTTAAATATGCGGCTAAATTGAGTTATTTCTTGGCCTGCCTGGCTAGTTGGCTGAAATTACTTGGGATTCTTCTGAGAATGTGATAAATGGAGGAGAGTCTAATGAATTTTAGGCACCCATTAAGTGGCTTTTATTTGAGATGTTAAGTTCGACAATGACGGTCAACAAACTTGCAGCTTGCCTGAATGTTTAACAACATTTTCAGCGTTTCTTCTCTCGTGCCTCGCCGTAGTTAAATTTAGCCACTTGGGAGACCAAAGCCACTCCCCGTGGCTTCCCCCTTTGGTTGAAAAAGTTCAAATGCAACGATGCGATAAATGTTGATTCGGTATGACTGAAACCGAAACCGAACAAGATTTTTGGGCTTGGGCTCGGGCTCGGTCTCTTCCCTTTTCCCCTCCGCCGGCTTTTGTGCAGAAGAAAAGCGAAATTGTTGGCTAATTGCCGTAATTGAAGAATCGATCGAAGAAATAAGCGAAAAACTCCGAGGAAAACAAAGCAAAAAACGCAGCCGAAACGAATCGAGTAGCCCGAATTAAAATTGCGGTAAAAAGTATTGAAAAACTTGACTTTATACAGTCAAGCTCCCCTAATCCGATCGAGTCATATTTATCTTTTGATCTCCGTCATAACTTAAACTAATTTAAATGGCAAATAGCTTGAAATTTGATTATAATATTTGTTAGTGGCCTCTTTATTGTGGCTTCACTGCAGCCTGTGCGTTCCAATTGGAATTCGTTTCGTTTTTGTTTTGGCCGTTTGTCGACGTTGTTGTTTATTTTGTTTGCATTTCATGTTCAGGTGCGATCGAGATTTCTACTTCGCCTTAACACATTTAACGTTTCGGCCGGGCCCAAGTGCTAATTTGGCCAGAGCCAGAGCCAGTGCCTCAGTTTTGGCCTAAATACCGGGAGATGGCCAGTGGTAGCACACACACACACACACGCACACTAATAGCCATTTAAAAGGTGAAAATATGCAAAATCTCGTTCGTTTTGCCTGCTTTTGGGTTTGTTTTGGCGTGTCTCCCCTCGTGTAGGTGGCATGAATTTCAATAATTCGTGTTTTGGGTCTCGGTTTCTGTGCTTTGTTTATACTTTTATGCCTTGGCATGCGCCGCAGCCGCAGCCGCAGCCGCAGAAACTCCTGCCAATATCAATGGACGTGACTGTCTTAGCACCAGAGTGCCATTGCATTTTGAAAGTGCTTAAAAGTGGAAGGACAGGCTAAGGAATGGTGCTAAAAACTGGCACGCTGCCTTCCACAGCTTGTTAAGGGTTTTCTTCAATATGGTTTTATGTACTAAAAACAGATTGTTCTAAGCCTTTGATACCTTACCCATTAAGTAAGCAGCATAAAAGAAACTATTTACGTTGCTAAATACACTGCTGTATAGAAATATTACATGTACTACAGACTCAGCGACGCAGCACTTTCGTTTTCAAATCGAAATTTCACCTAAATTTAGCGACAAACGCAGCCGACGAATTTCTCAAGTCATTGAATTGCAATCTTTCAAGGTGGAGGCAAAATGGAGACCCGACGAACCTTGTTTTTTGTCTCCTCCCCGCCAATTTGGTCTGCAAAAATAACAGCCACAACAGCGACTACAACAAGTCAACAATGACAACAAATAACAGCAATAAACAGTCAGCGATTTTTCGCCTCCAAGTGCAATGAACTTTTCCCCCCAAACAATCGTTAACCACAAATCTTCGCCACTCTTTCTCCTTCTCATTTCCCCGTTTTCCGTGGAGTCTGCGGTATTGTCTTCCAGTTGGAAGAGTTCACAACTCCCCCTCTTTTCCACCCACTGGCGCGATTTTCAAGTTCAGATGTAAAGCAGTGGCGGTGCTTGATGTCGCCATTCGCCTGTCTCAGATTAGATCATCGCCTTCCAGTCAAGTGAGCTAAGCGCGGGCGTTGCGATGATGGCACTCGACTCTGGTTCCGAGTTTTTGGGATCGGATGACAGCATTATTGCGATCCATAAATAGTGGGAGTGGGCTGGAATGGTGCTAACTATTTGGGGGAGGAGCTCGGGGCTTGTGAGTTCTAAGTCTCTGGAAGTATCTCTTATATATTAGAGAAGGTTATAGGTGGATTTCAGATCACAGAGACTTGATAGAAGGTGTGTATTTCGAAAAGACTGCTAAGGTAATTGGGTCACAGTGTAACCCCTCCCCACACACCCATTCAATGATCTTTATGAGCAACTGCAATCAGTAAGCCTCTTAAATATTGATTACGAATCTGTTAGCGATCGAATGCACCTGTTTCACATGATGATTAACAGATGTGACGTTACACTTTTAGCTCCAAGAGTGCAGCATTTAAAGAGGAGCCAAAGTCAATCAATAAATGCATTCCAGTTTGTGGGGCAATTGAGTCTGTGTAAGACAGATATGAGCAGAAAGCAAACTACAAACACAGCTTAAAATCAAACTCAAAACAATGCACTTAATCATCATCTTGGGCTGGGGATTAATACAGCTCATAATCAAGGGGCGGCTCATGGAGTGGATGAGGTAATGCCCCACGTAGAGGAGGATCCCACGATGTCACAATAACTACAGCCAGCCAGCCAGCCAGCCAGGCCACTGCACAACGCAAAATGCATTTCGAATGACGATCAGGTGGAGGATTTGCCATCTTAGACCAGAATCATAGTCGAGATGCCATTACTTAGCTGCTAACTTTTGCCTCAGTGTAGAAATCAGTATCGATTCGATTCGCCTGGGGGACACGCATTAAAGTTAACCAATCGAGGGCCTGAGCTGGTCATCCAGCGAAGAAGAGCTTGATGTAGGCATTTCTCTGGCTCTTTCCCTGGCTATTACCTCACCTCGATCGAGGTCTCTGTTTCCCCGTAGTCATTCGTCGTAGTCTTTCTCATGCAAATGAGGATGAAGAGCCATGCTGCGTATCAATAAACTTAAAGACTTCACGATCAATTTAGAGATGGCCATTCATTCGGTATGGTAATAGGGTAATATGGTAATAGGGTAATATGGTAATATGGCAGGGCATATGCAAAGTTATACCGTTCTGAGACGCTTGTGAGTTTCGGTTATTTTGTAAGCCAAACGATTAATGAAACAAAAGCAAGTGCGGCAATCGTTTGTGTGTCAAAAATAATTGCACTTGGTTTTAGTTTTGGATTTCTGCTTCTTTTGTTGGCCAAAAAAACTGAAAAAACAGAAAAAACGAAAGAAAAAAAATGCATTGCAATTGCAGTTAAACAACTTTACGCTCCATTCAGCATTAAAATTACTTTGTGCCACTTTCAAAGCTATTTCTACTGCTGCCGCGGCAAAGGCAACTGCTTCTTCTGCTTCTGCTTCTGCTTCTTTGGATTGGATTTGATTGTGTTCAGTTTTCAGTTTTGGCTTTTTGTTTTATTGCCTCTTCGGTCTCTGTTTCTGTATGCAGCCACTCGGATTGCCTCCTATGCACTTTTCAGCTTCTTTCCCAGTGGACAGTGGACAGTGGACACTGGAACAGGTGGGATCTGTTAAAAGTTAGAGCTAGGTAAGCCCCGTCCGAGGAATTTCGCAAAAGTCACGAATGTCACGCATCAAGTGGGACAGAAACAGAACGCAAAGAACCAAGATATAAAAATGAAACCAGCCACAAGATGGAAATGGAAAACTAATTGATAACACTGCAAGGAGTGCAATCGAATGGAACCGAGGAAATCGGAGTTACGGTATCAGGGAAATGCCCAGTAAAAGTCGCGGAGAAATGCTTTTCCGGTGAGCATCATCCCCCAAACGGAAAGCTCGAAGATTTTTTATAGCAGCTCTGTTAAACTTTCAACAATAAATACTTCGCTCGACGATAACTCAAACTGAACAATGGCAATAACGATTTGAGTGCCACATTCTGGCGATTAACACCTGCCGCCAGTGAAGCCGCCCGCCTCCCACCGCCCCCTGTCTTATTAACCCCTTTGGCACGCCAGCGTCGGAAAAAATCGAAAACACTTTCAATGTAATTGCAAAAATATTTGAAATCATTTTCGTCGTCCGTCGAACGCGCTTTCCTTTCTTGGCTAGCCACTCTCAAAACGGGGGGTTTCGATGGGGTGATCTGCGTATGCCCCGGGAATTTTAATCATATTTCTCTCGCGAACGTACATGCTTAATTATTTGTGTTTACTTCTGTGTCTGTGTGTGGTTTTTATTTCTCATTTGGCTTTGCCAGCCCCCAGCCCCCAGTCCCATGGAGGCCAATTTGGTTTCCATTTCGATTCGATTAACGAATCCAGCTGGCTACTGATCCAAGCCGAATCGGTGGATACCCTGATCGATTGAACTAATTTGATAGTGATGCTTGCTCTATCACCCTTTCAGATGACTTTCCATAAACAGGCTAAGACATTTCTACTGTGTTTAAGCCTTATGATAGTATAGGCTGCTTAACCTAACGTCAGGGTCTCCTTCAAACCTCTCTTTTGGCCAAATATTCCCAGCTACTAGAGTATCTCTTTATTGCTGGCCATTTTTGTTTTGATATTTTCGATTTTGGATAGTAAGCATTTTGATATGATTGGCTTAGAGTGGACCGGATTGCAGTGGAGTGGTGGGGATTGGATCGGATCGATTCCGGGCATTTGGCAGCCACTCAAGCGTCCTATTTGCTGTCTCTGTTGCTGTTGTTGTTGTCCGCCAATTATAATGGCCAGCAGTTGTCCGTCCTCGGTCCAAAGTCGTTTATTGTTAGTTGTTTGTCGTTATGTGCAGGTTTTTATTTCTTTCAGTTTTTGTTTTCTTGCAATTTCACTTTTGCCTTTTGCCGGATTCGAGGTTCGATAGCTGTCCATACTGAGGCCTTTGCCTAAGGATCTGGGAGCAGGGTGACAGGGCAGGTAAACCGATCTAGCTTTCACTTTGGCTGCATCGGGCTGGCAGTCTGACAGTGAAGATGCAATCAATCCGAGAGATGCGTCTGTCCACACGGCTATACTTTCGAATGGGGACCATACCCAGATCTTCCAGCAAGTGGAAAACAAACTCCGTCCAGATGCCAAATAGAGATACAAGATGCCCCAGCATCTGTCTATCTCTCGGCGGATCCATTTTCCCTCTTCCCATTCCTAATGCCATTCACTTGAACGTACGGCCATAAAAAGAACACAAACCACAAAGTAAAGAGAAGAAAACGCAGACAAATTTGATCCCCAGCCAAGAAATCTTAAGGTCGAATTTTGGTTTCCCTAGGGAGGGAGGCTGCAGTAGGTTTTACCTAGGCCTTCCCTCCCCCTATCGTCATCTATTTAGCCAGCTTAGGATTTCTTCTAGGCAAGTGCTGACTAGCATGAGGATTTAAAGATTTAATTCATTTGAAATATCAAAGCTGGTAGACTCCGAAGTATAAGGGTATATTCCTTGGCTTTCAATTAGCCCGCTTAGAGTCACGTCAACTCGAGAATGTAGTTGAGTGTGGTGAAGTGAAGCGAAGTCAAATCAAGTCAAAAGCCAAAGCCAAACCAAAGCCAAGAGATGTCTAAATCGCACAACCTGCCCCTGTACCATCTTTTCTCTGGCCGAGTCCCGAAAACCGCGGACCGAAACTCAACTCCAAGTCGGTTAAGTCTGTCGTCGGCAGACGGGCAGAAAATTCTTTAAGTGGAGGACTGAGAAGGTATCTGAATCTTAAATGATTTGAGCAATGACCTCAGCTCTTGTGTTCGTGCCTCGACTTTCTGATGAGCATACCTGGTTTTGGGGAACAAAGGAATCTGTTGAATATATTCCAGAACAGGATCCCGTTGTCCGCTTTTTACCCCTTTCGAGACTGACTGCCCGCTGACCTTGACACGTCTCTGAGATATCATAACGCCGCATTCCAAGCCATTCAACCTGCTTTTTCTACGCATTCCCAAGACTTCATTCAGTTAAGAAATAAGAACTGAGAACTGAGAACTAAGAACTATGAACTAAGAACTGTCTTTAGGAATTTTCTGGCTGCGTTGTTGTTTTTCGCATAATTATGGTATATCTGTCGCTTTATTGTCTCTGCTGGTTTAAATGGAGATTGATGGCTTTCAAGCGATTCGGCACGAGCTGGGGTCTCTCGCAAGAGATCTCAAAGATCTGCGATTAAAGCCAAGATCGGCTTGGCATGCTAATTAACGAATTCCAGTGGGCGGGGGGTGGTCTTTTCGAAAGCCCAACTCTTGACATTGAGCCAAGCTCCGAGACCCGTTTGCAGGCTGTACGAAAACTAGTATATAGACCCCTAGCCTAGCCACAAATATTGATTTTAAGCTCACCTTTTCGTATGTGTCCAATTTTAAATTCAAATTCGTGTTGGCTAAAAAATATGAAATGAAATCGAAACTTTGTTATATAAACCATAAAAAAATATGTAAAAAAAAGTCTATATAGTACATCACACGCGACGCGAACTTAAGGATCTATTTTTGGGCTAAAGGATTTTGTATTCATTTTTTAGACTGGCTTTTCGATTTTGGTTTTGGTTTTGGTTTACCGATTTCACGCACAGTTTGGTTAAAAGCCCAGCTCGAATTGAGTGCGACAGAGAGGGGATATTCTATATATCTCTCCCTCCCACTTGAACTCTGATTCTCTGCGATATTTCTCCGCTCTGCGACTTCGTTGGCTAAGCTCGGACCGAAGACTGGCTGGCGGCTTGATTTTCGGTTTGCTCGAACGCCCGAAGAAACCCGAAGAGGCAGTCGCGTAGACGAGTCTTCGGCTCCGCCACCCAAAGTCGTAACCCCCTACCATTTCCGATGACCCCTTTGGCGATCGTGCGCCAGGCGACAAAATGTCAAACGATCGCTGGGGATCCTTAACTGGTTTTACAGTTGCCACTCGCCGGGGCCTGCGTGCTGCGAATACCGCCTGAATAGGTACCCCCCTATATAGTACATATATTCCGCCCTCCCCCCGAAGAGGTTTTATTTCTTTTCAAATATTAAGTGCTCTTAAAGACAGACCCCCTTGTGAGGGGGTGACCCCCATGATCAGGAATACAAACCCGTTCCCAAAATCAATAATAATGTTGATAACTCCCAGTTAAGCCTTTCGAATGGAAGCAAATCTTGTGAGAATCTCTTCTAGCCCAAATTGCTTATGATAATTGGACATCCATTCCGTGTTCTTTCGCTTCCTGACACTCCCGTTGCAGCATCTTTAATGGCTCCTTTCTCCAGCAATTTTCCATTTTCCACTTGTCCCAATTCCGCCGATGCGGTTTCCATTGGGAACATTAAAATTCCGCTTGTAATAGAGCTATCGAGCAGAAGCAAAGACAGTTCGATGCGATTCAATCTGTTACCGAGTGGAATGCAGAAAATTGGGAAACGGGAATACAAAATGGGAGCAGAATCGGATGAGTTTCCCCCCCTCTATATCCATATTCCGCCGTGGAAAACCAGCAAGACAAGAAAAACTTTAAGCGGGCAAAAAACGCAGCAGGGTGAGAAGCGGATCGGTTCCAATTAGCAATTGGCCAAGTTGACCGAAAACCTGTTAACGCTTTAAGGAAAAGCTCAAGTAAAGCCAAGAGAGGAAAACCTACACGCAGAGAAAATAAATGCGAAGTCTCGCAGCTATCCATTGTTTTGTTGGCAAATCTTGTTCCTAGAGCATGGACAGCCAATCTTCCAATCTCCCTCTACTCCCCTTCGATCGATTTTCGAGAAATTCGAAGAGAAGAGAGGCGCCAAAGGAGCTATCATTTTGGTTCAGCGCTCGAGGGAAAACCCGAAACGAGTTTTTCCAGTAGAAGTCGGAGGAATCTGGCGCATCTGCAGCTGCTCGCTGAAAGACAGAAAATGGAAAAAAAGTGGAGAAGTTGTCAAGAATCTCAAAGCGAATCGATCAATAACCTTTTCATCAAATCCACTGAAGGGAAGCGAGGAAAACGATGTTGAAACTCGGCTGTGATAATTGGACTCAAGACCTCTGATCCATCCACCATCCATCCATTGAACTTCCAATTCGGAGCAGTTAACGGAGTGAGTTAACAAATGCCAATTTGGGAAAATCACTTTGAAAACCATTGAAAATCTTAAATGTTGTTAATCTTCGACTTCCTTGATTTCCAGACTCACCCACGCACAAATATGGCGTAAAAACGAGGAGCGGGGAAAGCACGAAATTGGCTGTAAATATCTTTCACCCATTGCAAAAGTTGTTTTGGCATTTTTCGAACATGTTTGCTCGTTGTTTTCTTTTTTTTTTTTTTAACTTGTTTACATTTTTTGCAGCCCGCCAAGTAAGTGGGCAAACAGGTTTTTGTTTTGCAAATATGTGGGCATGGTCGTTGTTACTGCGTGCGAGAGCCAGCGACTCCAAAGGGATAAGGAATAATATTGTAAAATACCTTTAACTTTTTCATAGTTAAGCTTTTGAACCCATCCTTTTGACCCATCAGCTGTTGTCTTTTGTCTTTTGCAAGAAACAAGGCTTCAGGATTGGGAGTAAGCAATTTTAGCATTTTCATCATCAAAATTTGCAAAGAACTGAAAAGATTTGTCATTTTAAACTGTGAATGCAGTTCGTCTGGAGTTCAAATTACGATCTCAGTGATGTATGGCATTCCATATTTCGACAATTATTGGCTTTGTTGTGAGAATAATTCTGATTAGTTTTGGACAACAATCAGGATTTTGAGTTTCGATAGAAAATGGTACCTTTTTTCATGGGTTTCTGCCTATAACTTGGCCAAAACAAGCCTCAGAGCTAAACCAAAGACTGTTTTGAGCAGCTTTCGACCAAAACAAACTTTCCTCATCATTGGTTTCAGGATTTTGTGGATTTAAATTTTTAACAAATTTTTGGATTTTCTGTAAGGGGTAACACCATCAAAATTTGCTAAATATTGAAGATTTCTACGTTTCAAGGTGGGGACACAGTTTTGTTGGAAATCATATTACGAGCTCAACGAGGTATTACATTCTATATTCTGACCATTATTGGCTGAGTTATGGGAATAATAATGTGGCTTGAGGAGAGAAATGAGATAAACCGATTTTAGGGGGTAAGGGGTAACATCATCAAAATTTGAGAAAATCAACAAAAATTTGACATTTTGAGGTGGGGATACAGTTTGATGGGAATTTTAATTACGAGTTCATCGGTGTATGACATTCTACATTCCGACAGTTATTGGCTTTGTTATTGGAAGAATTCTTGTTAGTTTGAGACCAAAATCAGGATTATGCATTTCGACGGAAACTTATCATGGTTTTTATCGGATTTATACCTATAACTTAGTCAAAAGAAGGCTCAGAGCTAAAATGAAGACTGTTTTGAGCAGCTAACGACCAAAACTAACTTTCCTCATCATTGGTTTGGCGAATTTGTGATTTTGAATTTTTAACAAATTTTTGGATTTTCTGTAAGGGGTAACATCATCAAAATTTGCAAAAAATTGAAAGGTATTTACGTTTCAAGGTGGGGACACAGTTTTGTTGGAAATCAAATTACGAGCTCAACGAGGTATTACAATCTATATTTGGACCATTATTGCCTTAGTTATGAGGAGAATACTACCAATGTTTGGGGGAAATGGGGAGAAGCCAAATATCACACTTTCGATAAGGGGTAACATCATCAAAAATTATGAAAAATAGCAAAAATTTTACTTTTCAGGGTGGGTAAACAGTTTTGTTGGAAATTCGAAAACAAACTCAATGAGGCATTACATCCCATATTTGGGCCATTTTTGGCTTAGTTATAGACATAATACTGTCATCTTGAGGGGAAAATTTGATAAACCAAACTTCGTATTTTTAGCCACTGTTTTCGTGGTCTTGGGCTCCGACTTAGTCACAGCTTAAATATATAGATCAAACATCCATTTTGATTTATATTAGCCCTTTTATTCACTTCTCATAATAACTTCACTAGATTTTGTTTTTACAAACTTGAAATAATTAAGGGAACAGTTAAAAAAATAAAAAAAATTCCAGGGGAAGCCTACCAGCTGCCTGCATAGGCATTTGCTGAGGCCTTTGCATAGGCTCCGTTTCCACCTCCTCCTCCTCCACAGGACTGGCAGCCACCTCCTCCTCCGCCGGAGGACCAACTATTAGCACTGCTGCTTGCGTAGGAGCCGCTGCCACCACCGCCGCCACCACCCCATTGGGAAGGTCCTCCTCCTCCTCCTCCGCCACCATGGTAACCGCCACCGCCGCCTCCTCCATGGTAACCTCCACCGCCGCCTCCTCCTTGGTAACCTCCTCCTCCGTGGTAACCACCTCCTCCTTGGTAACCACCACCTCCACCTCCACCTCGCCACTGGTGACCTCCTCCACCTCCTGCGCTGTAGACTGGCTTGACGACATAAACATCTATGGTGCTGCCTCCGCCAGGATAACCGCCGCCTCCGCCTCCATAATTTCCTCCTCCTCCTCCTCCTCCGTGATATCCACCGCCGCCACCTCCGTGATATCCGCCGCCGCCACCTTGGTATCCGCCTCCTCCATTGTAGCCTCCCCCTCCGTTATGGCCGCCGCCCGCGCTCCCCAGCCACCACCGAAGCCTCCACCACCACCGAATCCTCCACCTCCACCTCCACCGAATCCTCCTCCGCCTCCACCGCCAAAAAGCAGCTTCTTCTTTAGGCCAAGCAAAGATGGAGTAGTGAAGTCCACGCAGCTGCCCAGGACTAGCAGCCAAATAGTGATGAGCTGCCAGGGCCTCATCTTGTTAGTTGACTAGTTGAGATTGAAGTTCCGGTTCCGAATTCTGAAGCTCTTCCAATCCGTTCTATTCGACGCCAAAGCTGATTGTTAACTAGTCGTCAATCTGTAAAGTGCATCTTTATATATGACATCCATTGTTTGCCATCGATTCGTTGTCGTCATCACTGGGAGCCATCGCATTCTCTCAGGCTATCGGGGGAGTTACTTAAACAACAATAACGTTGGCTAGCGGGCATTAAACATTAATTACTGAATGGCTCAGTGGAGATAATGAAATCGGCGAATCAAAAATACTCTGACTAGTTCTAAGAACATACGCCCACGTTTTAGGTAGTTTTAGTTAAGTGATCTGATCAGCCCTATTTTCCCACTTAAAGGACACCTATGTTTAGTTCGACTGAATAAGGACTTTATGTCTATGGATGTGCATAGTTTTAGTAGTGGAAGTATAGCAAACATTGCGCATACGCCGGGTGTACCCGCTACCCAGGCAGAGTATCAACAATTATATGCATGACATCTGCTGGAAAATCCCTCTTACTCATCTTCTAAATAGAAGAGAATCGGACATAGTGGTGAATATATCTGAGATTGGCAAAACCAGTATAGTTAACTGGGCCTCCAGTGAGAAGCAAGGGTCAACTAGGAGATAACTCACGCCAACTAATGGTCAGTTCTACTATGATGGAACATTAACATATGCCAGATAATGTAACTGCATTCGATGTAAGCGTATTTTAACTTCGTTGTTTCCCTTCTAAACTCATCTGTATGTGAGAAGCAATTCGCAAGCTGAGCCGCATAACTTTTTAATTTTACAAATCACAAAAATCCCCCGCAATTGTAGCAGATGCTCTAAGGAAGCGTCAATTTAAAAGCGGATACTTTTCGAGCTAGCTGGAAGTCTTATATTTATAGCTTTTAATAGAATGAATCCGGGTCACTCTCTTGAGCCCTTGAATAAATAATAGTAAGGGGTAAAAATGTTATATTTTAAACTGTGAACCCAGTCCTTCTGAAATTTTAATTACGAATTCAGTGGTGTATGACATTGACAATTGGCTTTGTTATGAGAATAATTGTGATTATTTTTGGGCAACAATCTGGATTACGACTTTTGACGCAACTGGCCATATTTTTGATCGGGTTTATACCTCTAACTTGGTCTAAACGAGACGCACAGCAAAAAGAACGACCGTTTTGTGCTGCTAACGACCAATACTAACCACCCCTATCTCTCGTTTTTCGATTTTGGAGAAATCAATTTTGGCCCAAATTTCGCATTTTTGATAAGGGGTACCATCATCAAAATGTTCAAAAATGGGCCAAAAATTAAGTTTTCCAGAGTTGAATGCGGACCAATTGGGAATCATGGCAATCAAGTTACGAGCCCTACGAGGTATTACATTTCGCATTTGGACCATTTTTGGCTGAGCTATGCCAAAAACACCGATTTTTTGGTGCCTAAAATCACGTATACGTCGGTTGATAGCAGATATTCCGGTTCCTTGCAGTTTCTTAGCTCTAACTTTGTCAAAACAAGACGCATGGCTACTACAATGACTGTTTTATGCAGCTAACTACCGAAACATAACAACCCTATACTTGGTTTTGTTATAATTGTTCTGATTTTTTGGTGCGAGCTCTGTTTTAAGGGCTAAAAAATCAGGAAACCGATTTCTAACAGAAATTTGCAATACTGTGCTCCGTTTTTTAGCTCTAGCTCGGTCAAAACAAGACGCACAGCCAAAAGAACGACTGTTTCGTGCTGCTAACGAGCAATACTAACCACCCCTATCACTCGTTTTTCGATTTTGGGAAAATAAATTTTGGCCCAAATTTTGCATTTTTGATAAGGGGTACCATCATCAAAATGTTCAAAAATGGGCCAAAAATGAAGTTTCCCAGATTTGATTGCAAACCAATTGGGAGTCAAAGCAATGCAATTACGAGCTCTACGAGGTATTACATTCTTCATTTGGACGATTTTTGGCTGTGCTATGGGTAAAAAACTGATTTTATTGCGTCAAAAATTAAGTATACGTCTTTTGACAGCAGATATCCCGGTTTGGTTGCCGTGTCTAAGCTCTAACTTTCTCAAAACAAGCCGCTTTGGCCGCAGCAATGACTGTTTTATGCAGCTAACAACCAAAACTTTAAACCCCTATACTTGCTTTTGTAAATATAGTGCGAGCTCTGTTTTAAGGGCAAATAAATCAGGAAACCGATTTCTAACAGAAATTTGCAATATTATTTTCGGTTTTTTTTTAGCTCTATCTCGGTCAAAACAAGACGCACAGCCAAAAGAACGACTGTTTTGTGCTGCTAACGACCAATACTAACAACCCCTATCACTCGATTTTCGAATTTGGGAAAATCAATTTTGGCCCAAATTTCGCATTTTCGATAAGGGGTACCATCATCAAAATTTTCAAAAAATGCCCAAAAATGAAGTTTTTCAGATTTGAATGCAAATCAATTGGGAATCAAAGCAATCAAATTACGAGCCCTACAAGGTATTACATTCTTCATTTGGACGATTTTTGGCTGTATTATGGCTTAAAAACTGATTTTATTGCGCCACAAATTAAGTATACGTCGTTTGACAGCAGATATCCCGGTTTGATTGCCGTTTCTTAGCTCTAACTTTGTCAAAGCAAGCCGCATGGCCGCAGCAATGACTGTTTTATGCAGCTAACAACCAAAACTTCAACTCCCTATACTTGCTTTTATAAATATAGTTCAGAGTTTTTGGTGCGAGCTCTGTTTTAAGGGCTAAAAAATCAGGAAACCGATTTTTAACAAAAATTTGCAATACTATGTTAGGCTCTTTAGCTCTAGCTCGGCCAAAACAAGACGCACAGCCAAAAGAACGACTGTTTTGTGCTGCTAACGACCAATACTAACAACCCCTATCACTCGATTTTCGAATTTGGGAAAATCAATTTTGGCCCAAATTTCGCATTTTCGATAAGGGGTACCATCATCAAAATTTTCAAAAAATGCCCAAAAATTAAGTTTTCCAGATTTGAATGCAAATCAATTGGGAATCAAAGCAATCAAATTACGAGCCCTACGAGGTATTACATTCCTCATTTGAACCATTTTTGGCTGTGCTATGGCTAAAAAACTGATTTTATTAGCCCAAAATCAAGTATACGTCTTTTGACAACATAGAGCCCGGTTTTGTTGCCGTTTCTTAGCTCTAACTTTGTCAATACAAGCCGCATGGCTAAAACAGTGACTGTTTTATGCAGCTAACAACCAAAACTGTAAACCCTTATACCTAAATAAAAGTTGAAAACTTTTTACATGCGCATTGTTTTAAAACTAACAAATCTTTACGTTGTTTTGTTTATTTGCAGGCGAATAGGTCGATGCGGGTGATGATAACTAATTAGTATTCCAAGGTGGAGGACTTCTGTGAATCGAATTAAGAATGGAGCAATGGAATGGCATTTGACGACCGACACCGGAATACGCTCTCGTCGTGAAAATGTATTTTATGTTTGATAACATGAATAGAAATAAACGTATATGGAAAGCTTTATTGAAGAAGTTGGGGGATTGTGACATACTTGTAGGCATATACGACTGGCGCAAAATGTCAGCATACTTTTAGGCATTACATTAATGCAAACGAGTGTAGCATACTCTTAGGCATTGCGTTAATGTTAACTTTAGCCTGACTTTAGGCATTCCTATGTTAAAAGGTTAGCCACGAATATTAACAAAAAGCAGCCTACTTTTAGGCATTCTATCAGTGTTAGCCCAAAATTGTTAGCATACTTTTAGGCGTGTAACAAAGATGTCACAAAACGCACGCACGGAGTGCCTAAAAAACTCGTCAAAACTTTTGGCCAGTTTGACGAGTTTTCCAAAATTGGTCAAAAATTTTCATTACTAATTTGGTCAAAACTTTTGACCAATTTTCGTCAAAAATTTTAATCATATATGGTCAAAAGTTTTCGCCAGTTCCCACATGCCACAAAACGCACGCCCGGAGTGCCTAAACAACTCGTCAAAAGTTTTGGCCAGTTTGACGAGTTTGTCAAAACTGGTCAAAAATTTTCATTACTAATTTGGTCAAAACATTTGTCCAATTTTCGTCAAAAATTTCTAATCATATTTTTGTCAAAAGTTTTCGCCAGTTCCCATATGCCAAAATTCCGACTTATACCCATTACAATGAAATTAATAATTTTATTTTATTGAAACGTTTTTACATTTTAGGACATATTATTTTACAAACATAAATCTATCGATCTGCGTGACAAAGGTCCTTCTCCGATCAGGAAGCGGGGTCCTTTTAAATATTTTATAGCCGATTCCATTTGTTATAAAGGTCCGCATTAGAGCTCCGCCATCGCCTAAAAAACATTTTAAATTGGATTAGTTACAAAATTGTCAAGTTTTGCCAATTATTCGTAAAAATGCTAATCTAATATTAAGTCTTATTCAAAAGCTGCACAAAACAGTCGTATTTTTGACTGTACGTCATGATTTCACAAAGTTATAGCTAGAAAACCGCAAATAATATTGCAAATTTCTGTCAAAAATTGATTGTTTAGCTATTAAAATCGCCGCAAAAAACCAGAACAAAAAAAAGAGTATAGGGATTTTAAGTTTCGTTAGTTAGTTGCATAAAACAGTCATTGTTTTAGCCATGCGGCTTGTTTTGAGAGAGTTAGAGCTAAAAAACGGTAACAAAACCGGGCTCTATGTTGTCAAAAGACGTATACTTGATTTTAGGCTAATAAAATCAGTTTTTTAGCCATAGCACAGCCAAAAATGGTTCAAATGAGGAATGTAATACCTCGTAGGGCTCGTAATTTGATTGCTTTGATTCCCAATTGATTTGCATTCAAATCTGGAAAACTTAATTTTTGGGCATTTTTTGAAAATTTTGATGATGGTACCCCTTATCAAAAATGCGAAATTTGGGCCAAAATTGACTTTCACAAAATCGAAAAATGAGTGATAGGGGTTGTTAGTATTGGTCGTTAGCAGCACGAAACAGTCGTTCTTTTGGCTGTGCGTCTTGTTTTGACCGAGCTAGAGCTAAAAAACGGAGCACAGTATTGCAAATTTCTGTTAGAAATCGGTTTCCTGATTTTTTAGCCCTTAAAACAGAGCTCGCACCAAAAAATCAGAACAATTATAACAAAACCAAGTATAGGGTTGTTATGTTTCGGTAGTTAGCTGCATAAAACAGTCATTGTAGTAGCCATGCGTCTTGTTTTGACAAAGTTAGAGCTAAGAAACTGCAAGGAACCGGAATATCTGCTATCAACCGACGTATACGTGATTTTAGGCACCAAAAAATCGGTGTTTTTGGCATAGCTCAGCCAAAAATGGTCCAAATGCGAAATGTAATACCTCGTAGGGCTCGTAACTTGATTGCCATGATTCCCAATTGGTCCGCATTCAACTCTGGAAAACTTAATTTTTGGCCCATTTTTGAACATTTTGATGATGGTACCCCTTATCGAAAATGCGAAATTTGGGCCAAAATTGATTTTCCCAAATTCGAAAATCGAGTGATAGGGGTTGTTAGTATTGGTCGTTAGCAGCACAAAACAGTCGTTCTTTTGGCTGTGCGTCTTGTTTTGGCCGAGCTAGAGCTAAAGAGCCTAACATAGTATTGCAAATTTTTGTTAAAAATCGGTTTCCTGATTTTTTAGCCCTTAAAACAGAGCTCGCACCAAAAAATCTGAACTATATTTATAAAAGCAAGTATAGGGAGTTGAAGTTTTGGTTGTTAGCTGCATAAAACAGTCATTGCTGCGGCCATGCGGCTTGCTTTGACAAAGTTAGAGCTAAGAAACGGCAATCAAACCGGGATATCTGCTGTCAAAAGACGTATACTTAATTTTTGGCGCAATAAAATCAGTTTTTAAGCCATAATACAGCCAAAAATCGTCCAAATGAAGAATGTAATACCTTGTAGGGCTCGTAATTGCATTGCTTTGACTCCCAATTGGTTTGCAATCAAATCTGGGAAACTTCATTTTTGGCCCATTTTTGAACATTTTGATGATGGTACCCCTTATCAAAAATGCGAAATTTTGCCCAAAATTGATTTTCCCAAAATCAAAAAACGAGTGATTGGGGTGGTAAGTGGTGGTCGTTAGCAGCACAAAACGGTCGTTCTTTTTGCTGTGCGTCTTGTTTTGTGCTGCTAACGAAGTAGTACATTCCATATTTGGGCCATTTTTGGCTGTGATTTCTAATTTTTTTGCAAAAATAATGGCAGTGTCTAACAATATTTTTTATCATTGCAAAAACGCACAGAAGATCGTCCAGAAGCAGACTTAATGCAGCATAAAAGACGTTATTTTTAAATGTATCAAAATTGTGAAATAACAGTTACTTGGAACATTTATTTAAAATGCAAATTGTGTTCTAAGCAAATGGAATTTGCTACATAGTCTCTTGCTTAATTCAGTAACAGTTCTGTGGGGTACAGTAACGAAATAACAAAAAAGATGTGGATACGTACAGTATTTACAAAGGGTGATGTGAATTGCCTCAATGGCTTCCTAGGATTGTCGGCTAGTATTAGGCCCAACCTCCAGCAGGCTGCCAGCCACCGCCACCGCCGCCTCCTCCAGAAGACCAGCCTCCGCCACCACCGCCTCCATGGCCTCCACCACCGCCGCCTCCAGAGCTCAGCTTGATTATCTTGATGACCTTGGTGCCTCCTCCGCCACCGCCTCCGTGACCACCACCTCCTCCGCCAGATGACCAGCCGCCTCCTCCTCCTCCGCCGGAAGACCAGCCGCCTCCTCCTCCTCCGCCGGAAGACCAGCCTCCACCGCCACCACCGCCATGGCCTCCTCCACCGCCTCCGGATCCGAGACTAATGACCTTGATAAGCTTCACATCACCACCGCCTCCTCCACCTCCGTGGCCACCACCTCCACCGCCAGATGACCAGCCGCCTCCTCCTCCTCCGCCAGATGACCAGCCGCCTCCTCCTCCTCCTCCTCCGCCAGATGACCATCCGCCACCTCCGCCGCCGCCACCACTCTCCGTGATCACTTTAATGATCTGTACATCTCCTCCACCGCCTCCACCTCCATGACCGCCACCTCCTCCTCCCGAGGACCAGCCACCGCCTCCGCCTCCACCACCTCCAGAGGACCAACCGCCTCCTCCACCGGGCTTCGGTTTGGCCGTCACACTGGCCGCTCCAATGAGCAAGAGACACACAAAGGCCTGAAACATACATAGAGAACACTGCATGAGGATCACTCGAAAAAAAAAGTTAGAACACGCTGCGCATGCGCAGGATTTGTTAAGGAATTTATAAGTTAGTAGTTATCCTTGCGAACGATGCGCCGTACTTTCATCGCTTGGAACGCTCCGTTTGGGTTAACTAGTGGGTTAAGTGCGAATCCACAACTGACATGACCATCGATGGCAGCCAGAGCTTATATACGAAACCACAGGCAACATAACATTAACCGGAAAAGCTTCGCTCTGCCAGAAAGCAAAAGGAAAAACCATTTTCTACGCTCACTCTGCGGCTGGCAGATGTTGGAGGTGCTGCTGGGGTACTGCGAAAAACTGGGAGCGACTTCAAGCCGTACCTAATGTATTAGATTTTACGTTTCGGATATTGACAACCTGAGGTTTCAAGCTTATTGATTTGATCTTTTACTGCTAGCAGAAGTAATTCGCAATCACAAGCACCACCTAGTTTCTAGTTTACTCCCTATCAGGTTTAGATATAATAACTTAAAACCAAGAAAGGTATTTTGGATTACCTGCAGTTGTTTCGTTCCGTGTAACTGGGGTGGTGAGCCTCCACATCGGCGCTATGTGGGCCAAATGCTGCCGCATCATCGTCGCAAAGTCGCCATTAGTCAGGGGGGAAGATTCGGGCGCTGGGCTATGGTTTTTGGAGCTCTCGGTGCCGGCAGGGTGGCAAAAGGCATCGGGCGAAAGCGGCAGACAACTCATAACAGCAACTGCATTCGATTGTCGCATCTGCAACAGTTTGCTGCAACAGTCGGCCAAAGATTTGTTTGTATAGCAAATGCGCATCTCCCGCCAGACAAGTTGCTGCTGCACCTTTCTCATTGCATAATCCGCAACAGCAACAGCAGCAGCAGCAGCAGCACCAGCGGCAACCTCGCTGGTCACAACAGCAACATCAGGCCGACTTGCAACTTGCATCGTTGTACAATTGATGCCGTTATTTGATTTGCATCTGGGGATATCGCTGGCAATTTAGCCCGCCACGATGACAAAGCCCGGCGGAGGCGATCAACTGGCCGGTCAATCCATCATCTTGGGCGTGACGACCGCGCATTCGTTGCAGTCACAAATCGCAGAATACCATTAAATCACCGGAGCCAACGTGTCCAGACGGATTGGCCAAATGGGGAATTAGTCATGGAGGGATTGAGATCGAAGTTGGGTAAGAAAATATGCAGTATGGAATTTTTGGAGTTGAAAATGAGCAAGGAAAAGGACAGCTAGCATTAACTAACTCCATTAACTTCTTAATGGAGTTGCAGTAGCAAAGATTATCTCATTTTAATAAGCAATAATTTGTAAGTATAAAGTCTGGGTATTGCCCAACAAAAAGATTGTGGGAGGATCCACCTAGCAAGCGTTGAAACTTTAACTTGAAAACCATAAAAAACTATTTCTCATTATGCAACGCATTTGATTGCCTATTAAACCACCTAATGAGAAGATTATATGCAATAAGAGAGCTTCAAAAATTAACAGAAATAAATTTGAAATTATTTTGGAAACCACAAATGTGTGGCCTCCCTTAAGTATCTCCTGCATAAATCGTGGTATCTCGTAATCTGCTTATCTAACTCTAAAAATATTGATCGGTTTTTGGTGACCTAACTTCTTTAGCTCTTCTTGAAACTATCATTGGGGGCGTGGCCACACTTCACTAATTGCAGATGGGCAACAAACGAAAGTGCGGCTCAATAAATCCCGCATCAGCATCTCTTACACAACGCACAGGAGAGGGGGCAGGCAGGTGACACGTGGAAACGAGGAAAGGCGGCTAAAACAAAGCAAACAAAGTGGCGTCAATTGCAGCGACCCAGACGCAAGTTGCTGCTGTCGCCGCCGCTGCCGCCGCCAGTTGCTGCTGCAAATTGCAAGTGGCAAGGTGTGATTTGCTGGCTGAAGACGCAGCGGCATCGCATCCCAAAAGGAACCGGGCGGAGGACGGCCAGACCAAGTCGTTAGATATATCACTCTCCAAAGCAGCGGCAGACAACTGATGATGATTCAGATGAGGGGCGTTTAAGATGGAATCAACGCCAATGGCATGGCATGCCACATGCCACATGGCCAACATGGTAACTGAACTGAAATAAACGATATGAGCAACAGGTTTTCTTTTCACTTTTTATAGCTATTTAAAAATATGTTGGGATTTGGTCAAAATACTATATAAAAGCTAAAGTTCAGTTAAAGAAAGTAAAAGGACTTACCGAAGTATTCCAGGTTGATGTCTAGCAAGTTTTTGCTCAGACGTCGAGGCCTCCGTAGACTTGCAACGAGGAAGCGCAGCAACCTCGACCTATGCCAGATCTCCAGTTACACTTCCATTCGGGTCTCCCCCAGTCGCAGTTCGCCTTCGCCTCCGCTCCCCGGGAGCCACCAGTTTTTGTAGTGTAGTGGAGCAGCGGGTCAACGTTCCGCGTGCCTCGTTTAAATTGCAGTGCAGTGCAGCGCGCGGCGAAAAACGTGTTTGCTGCCTCTATGAACTTATGATACTTTTGGTGTGCTGTGTGTTTGGTGTTTGGTGTATGGTGTGTGTCCACTCCTCCCTCCTCCCATTATTTCCCACATTTTGGCATGTAATTTTCGTATCGAAGCTGGGGCCCCAGCTTTAGCCAGCCAGAGACAAAAGCACTCTGCGGATCAAGCAGGAGGGGCTGTTCGGTGGGCAACCTTCCCGAGGTTTCCGGATTGTTGCGTCACTGGGCTTCCTGCTTCGATGGGCCGGCTAAATAAATCACCAAATCGGCAAATCACCAAATCACCAACTTAAAAGCCGCACATCCTGCCCAGCACTTCAGGTCCTAAGAAATGGCCGACTTTCTCGTACACTTTATGGTTTATTCGATAATTAGGTTTCGTTATCGTTAGTAATTAAGTAGTTAATTAAGTTTAAAGTGATGCTCTCTGTTTACATTGCATGGGTTCGTTATCAGTTGTCCTAGATCGTACGTTTAATTTGTAATCTCTGCCTGACTCTCGCCTCTCGCCTCACGACTCTCGCCTCTCAGAATATTCCATTGGTTAGTTATTGCAAACGTTACACGGGTATATATACGAGTATATATCTGGGGTTGTACGTACAAGTAACGCCTATAATGCTTAGGTCTAGGCATATGTATGTTACGATATTATAGCTATGAGTATCCAGCCCAGAATTGAACTATTTATAGAGCAAAAAAAAGCACAAAAATAACACTAAAAGAATGATTTAGGATTAGGGGAGTTACGAATAATTAAAGATAATTTTCTATACGAAGACTAGACTGATTGATCGCTTTATACAGAGCACGCTCTCTTGACTAGACATGCGATGATTAGATGGTTGATGGTTCATGGTTCATGGTTCATGGTTGGATTGACGAGTCCGAGGGGTTCCTTCCTCCGTTAGCAACACCTTTCAGGTACTAGGAAAACATCCTCTTGGTGGGGGTAAAAGGAACCCTAAGTATGGGGATGGGAGCCGGGATGCTCAAACACGGCACGTCACTCGCTCAGTCCGGGCGAGATCATGCCGTCTATGGGCTCCAGCTATTGTTCCATGATGATCGTGTCCTCGGACTTGACGTTGCCGGAATTTATCGCCTCCATGGCCTTGCTCAGCAGAGTGGCGTCCTTCAGGCTGACCACCTGCACCAGCTGGGGCTCTTGGCCGGGCCCTCCCTGGATCATCATCTGGTGCATTCCCGGCGACATGGTGATGGTCTCCAGTTGGTCGCCGTTCTCCACCTTGAGGGCGAAACAAGATAGTCAGGATTAGTAAAAGGAATATTAATAATTTGGATTAAGTGTAAGACATTGCCCATGGGTCGGGTCTCTTCGATACTCTTCACTGGCTGTTATCTGTTATCTGGCGAAAAAGATAAGAAATAAGGCATAAAAAGTATAAGGTAAAATATACAAATTATACTTACAGCAACTCAAAGCAAAATCAGGGCTAATCTAAGGGGAATTAATCGAGTTGAAAATATACAAAAAATGAAATATAAAAACAAAATAAATGTCAAGTCGATTTGCTAGCTTTATTAGCACTTCAGCTTACACGATGTACTAGCAAATATTCAAATTAAAATTATAATAAAATCACAACAACAAAAGATTTATTCAATAAAATTTGTTGGCTTCTCGCTCGCTCGCTAGCTCTTTTCTCATTCAACTTGGCAACTTGGCAACTTGACCAGTGTTTAAACATAAAATTTGGTCTAAAACAATTCAAATAGATCCGATATATAAAAAATAAAACATGTATACACAATAATAATAATAATAATAATAGTGATAATAGCAATGGTCATCGATTGGATAAACACATTAGCAATAATGGTAATAGTTACAGATCAACATCAAGTGAACTTCCACGCACTCCAGAGGGGAGTCTCTCGAACCCCCCCTCTATATACTATATATCCTATATATACCATATATATCATATATACCACATATATAGCACATACACATCTCATGACTAAAGCTAATTAGCTCCAATGGCAAAATCATTTCCCCGCTGTAGCGCATTTTCAATGCGAATTGTCTACGTTTAAGAGATTGGATTGGATTGGTGGGTCAAAGGGGTTAGCAGGGTTAACAGGGTCAACGGGGTCAAGAGGAGCTAAAACTCATGAGGCGGCTAACGACGACAAGTACGACGGACTGACTGGTTGATCGATCCCTGTTCGCTTCACTACTTACTAGTACTAGCTAACTAATCCGACGGTACAGTACAACTTAGATGGGTTAATATTTGGTTTGCGTTGCGCTCTAAGCAATATTATGTGCACGGTTTCTGTATGTAACTAACCACTAATTAACTAATAAACAATGGCTAAGTCCCTAAAACTAGAAGGTGTTAAATGTTTGTAGCTCTGTTAACTAGGAACAATTTTGTTTTCGGTTTTAGTTTTGATTTAACGCTCTAGCTGTGTGTGTGTTTTTGGTTTTTGGTTTCAATTATCAACAAATTCCTTCTTCGGCACTAAATTCAATTCGTACTTGGTTAGTATCTGAGGTCCCTAACAGTGCTCTAGTTTGGGTTTTCTTTTCTTTTTCTTTTTTGGCATTCACAATGTGCGTGTCTACGTTTAGATGGCAAGTGCATTCGCGTGCGTTTTCCTTATTTTCCTACTTTCTCGTACAATTCTGTGTTTGTTTTTGTTTTTGTTTTTGTGCAAAGCCGCATTTGACTAGATTTGAGATGGGCTGGATTCTTAGATCTTAGGGAAGGGAACTGGAGCGAGACTCTACTCCAGGTGCTCCAGCTTGATGGCTGGCAGCTGGATCTGGGCACTGGTCAAGCTGGCGCTGTCCACGCAGCGTATGGAGGAGGAGTTGCCGGAGGAGCAGCTCGTTTCACTGGATTTCATATGAGACCTGCTCTTAAGAGAGGCATTGGGTTTCCTACGCTTCTGAAGCATTAACCCTACTCCTCCTCCAGCTCCTCCTCCACTAGTCCCGCCCCTCCTGGTCGACCTCGTGCTGGCCACCTGGGGAATATTCGGCGTTGCCAGGGCTATGGGCATGGGCAAGGGCATCTTTATGCTATTATTGTTGTTGTTATTCGGCCCGAAACTGGTGGAGCTGGTGGTGCTGCTGCTAGTGGTAGTGGCGGCCAGATAGTAACGCCCCCCGGGAGGCACCTGCTGACCCACCACTGCACCACTGCGCCGGCCCAAGACCGCCGATCCCGCCGAGATCAGTGAGTAGCACTGAACGCCGCCATTCCCCGCCAAACTGGTTGAGGAACTGGCGGCGGCGGCGGCGGTGGTTGTGGTGCGATTTGCATTTGTATCTACCTGCATGGGCGCCAGGCACACCGTTCCATCGCTGTTCGTTTGGATCTGCTGCACGTTGGCCATCACTGACTGGTACATGGAGACGGGCACCGAGATCACATTGCTCACCGAAACGGGATAGCCTGGGAGAAGTAAGAGATGATAGTTCAAGGAACATCCAGGAATATCAAGTGCTAATAAATACCTTGGCCATCCTCGGTGGTGATGTATATTTGGCCATCCTGCGTCTCGGTGAGGTCCACGGTCATGTTCTCATGGCCATTGACATCGGTGAGACTCTGAACCGTCTGTATAGTGGCCCCGCCCTCGCCTTGGTGGAGCTAAAAAAAAAACAATGTTAAAAATGTTAGAATAATGTAAGGAGTAATGTAAGGACCCTAGGATTTAGATCAACGTACCGTGGCAACACCTTGGACCTGGGCAGTGGTTCCGTCCGGCAGTGTGATAATGGGGTTGTTGGGATCCACCTGGATCAGCGACACGGTGCCATCGGCATTCTGCGAGAGCACAGTTTGCGTGGTGTACTGCATGGGGAGGGTGAATCGGGATTAGTAACGGACCAACATGGCTAACTCTACCTAAGCTAAATGAAGCGTTTAAATGAAATAAAAAGAAACGGCAAGCAAACAAGGTAAACAGGCAGTAAATGAGGGCAAAACTTAGGGCATAAATGAAGTTAAGTTCGTTCTGTGCGGTTTAGAGTGGCTAAAGTCGTATTTACATGTGAGTGCGAGTGTTCGGGTAGTGGTGGATGCAAATAATGATGGAAATAACCAATAACTCGGCAACAACCAGCTGCAACAGAAGGACAAACAAACAAAGCAAAATCAGGTCAAGTATCTGGTTAAAATCAAAAGTCAAGTGAGTCCTAGGGAGCCACAACATCCAGGTTCTACGATAAGTAAACAGAAACAACCAAAGAGTGAGCCAAATTAAATCCAGGGAACAGAAAATGTAAGGGCCAGGGGTCAGGACCAGGACTTGCAACCTAATCCCCAACGGGATTACTATATATATGAATATCGATGGCGATTCATCATTCTGGGATGTCCAGAATGAATAGTCGCATGTCCCGACCCCCGACCCGGCTCGATTAGTGGGCACAACAGCAATTCAAAGGGCATTTCATCCGGATTAGTACGAACATCAACATCGCTGAGCGTAATGGGCTCGATGCAGACTTGGGCATTGGCTATCTGCTGGGCAGTGACCGTCTGGTTGCCACTCGACTGGGAGTGCGAGTGAGCCTGGGCCTGCGAATGCGAGTGCGAGTGGGCCTGGGCCGCACTTACGGCGGCGGCTGTTGTCGGTACCGCGGTGGCCGTCGCCGTTCCACTGGCCGTTGTCAGCTGGATCGTTTGCGGCTGACCTCCGGCCACCGGCTGGATGTGCACCGTGCTGGGCAGGCCGTGGGTCTGATGGTGCTGGTGGTTCTGCTGGTGGTGCTGCTGCTGTTGCTGTGCCGGGGCCTGGCAGATCTCGATCTTGGTGGAGGCGGGCAGCGTGGCCGTCGTGGTCACATGCTGGTTATTGGTGCTCTGGATGATCGTCGGAGCAGGGGTATTGCTCTGAGCCGTGTGGGTGGTGATCACCGTCCCGGCACTGTTGATCTTCACCACGTTCACCTGCTGCGGTTGCTGTGATGATTATTCGATGTAAATTGGTTGATGGATTAGTAATGTGATCGGTATGTATGCTTTTCCAAATGCCTGGTGCGGATTAGTAATATGGGCAACTCCATGGGTAAACCAGAACCAGTAAAGGTTAAAAAAAAAAACAAAACAAGATTTTCATCTTCATCCCGCAGGGCTCATCCCCGAAACAAAAACCTGAACTTAACCCAAGGTAAGGTGAACTCACATTGCTGTTGCCCGTCGGCGGAGTCATGGTGGTGACCGTGTGGATGGTGGGAGGATTCGAGAGCTCCATGTCCTCGTCCTCGTCGCCCGACTGCGAGATCAAGGCGTTGACCTTGTCCTCGTCGTCGGCAAAGGTGGGCAGCAGGTCCTCCCTTCCATGGTACTTGTAGCAGTTGATCACGATCTTGCGCAGCGCATGCGTCCAGCTGATCTGAAGTGGGAAACGATTTTAGAAGTTAGTATGATCCAAGGGAGATCGGGGGCGGCTGTTGGAACACCCACCCCACCCACCTTCTGCTTGTCGTCCTCGGAGCGGGCGTCCATCCTCACGTTGGCCCAGGGCAGCTCCTTTGGCCACCAGGGCGGTCTTGTGGACTCCCGGCCCCATCCGGGCTTACCTCGGCCCGTGGAATACTTGAGCATCAGCGGGATGAAGGCTCTCAGCTGGGCTTGGGTCATCTTCTCCACGGGCGTTGGTATTCCATCGATGACCAAGCCAGGCAGTTCGAAAAGTGACGGATCATCCTGTGGTGGCGGTGGCGCCTGCTGGGCCAGTGCATTATCCAATTCATCCATCACAATGTTCTTCAGGTTGCGCAGCACATCCTCCAGCGGCTTGGCTCCGAATACCTTGTAGCTAGTGTTGGGTTTCCCCGGTGTGGCCACCAAGACCACCGCCTGCTTGCCCACTCTGCCCGTGAACTCGTAGATGATCCCTCTCAGCTTGCGTAGCAGTCGATTTTGTTGCCTTTTCCTGACCGAGGGATTCGTTTCGAAGCAATGGGGCCTCTTGCGCTTCTTGGAACTCGCAATTGCTGCCGCCGCTGCCACGCCCACTGGTCCGGCGGCCGCCAGCTGGTGGGCCACATCATCGTTGACGGGCATGGAGCCCAGATCTCCGTCGTACAAGCTGCCATCGCTGCTGATCAGATCCTCGTCGTCGTCATCGGATCCCAAGCTCTGTATGTCCTCGTCCAGCATTTCGATCTTGTAGGTGGTACCGTTGCTCTGGGAACTGTTGCCGGCACTTTGCAACTGGCCGCCACCGCCTCCTCCGCCTGTCGTTGTGATGGTGGTCACATTGAGACCGCTTCCCGAGTTACTGCTCCCAGCGGGTGTTCCTCCTCCTCCGTTGGCCCCGTTTGAGGAATTGGCGCCCGAGGAAGTCGTGGTCACCACCACATTGCCAGCCGAACTCCGCTGGCTGCCCGCCGGCGCCACGACCAACCGATAGCTTGTGGTGGCCAGTTTGGCGGTGGGGATTCCCTACTGATCCCTTCTGCTGATTCGCTCCTCTCCTCTCCGCTTCTCTCCTTAGACCTTCTCTAATGGATTCCCGAAGGTCCTATTCGCATGCGCAGTGTGATAAGAGCTGTTCGGGGAGGGAAAGTTGGATTCAAATTAGTTCTCAGGTCTCTGCTAGTAGTTCTTACTTAAAAGAAGGAACTGGTAAAGGCATATGGAAGGTGGAATCTCTAGTTAATATGTGCCATTAGTAGTCAGTACTAACTTATTCGTAGGGCAACACAACAACGCAAGCTGAAACGAGTTTCTTCAGAGGGTTGATCACGCTGCCCCAACAACGGTGCCTCACCACCACGACTACAGGGTACTTCAGCAGCACCAGCACCAGCACCATCCCCCCATCAGCAATCCAACTTGGAACGCTTCTCTGTGCCGCTTCTGCTGATAAGCGGCAAGTGAATCAGGTCAAAAGCGCGCATGCGCAACACCGCCAACGACAATAATAGAACGACAAAAGCGAACTTTTCAAAGTTTTATAACACGGACGGACCCGGCAGCAATATCTACACACACACACACACACACACATGCACACACATGCACACTATATGCATATGGTCGTATGTACACCATATATACCAAGGTACATATGCACAACTGTTTGTAATTCAAGCGATCCACAGTCGCAGATTAGCGCCGTCGACGATCAGTTGAAGTCGCTTTTCGTAGGGCCCCAATGAATCGGATCGGATCGGATCGGATCGCATCGGTTTGGTTCGGGAGCCGATAAACGGCGGGTACTTGGGCACTTGGGTGTATGTACGTTGTACATACGTGTACTCTATGCTAATAGATATGGGGGCAAGGTGAGGAAAAGCATTCCATGTGGCACAGGTAGCGCGGAAAACTGAAGAAGGCTGACCCTGAGACACAAGCCGAGAGATAAAGGATCCAACTTCAAGTTTCTATCTTTCTTTCTGCCGGACTATCTATCTATCTATCTCTTTCTGTTTATCTTCTCCTAGCTCTTATTGGGATTTAATTAATAAAGTTGACATGTAATGCTCGGCATTCTCTGAATACGATTATTTGTTTATTTTTCTGGCTACGATTTTGCTCACATATTGAAAAATATCAAGCAAACCCAAATCGCGCTCTCTCACTGCCCGTTTCTGGGCATGTGCATTCTCGGTTCTCCGTGTTTGAGTGCGCAGAATCCCCAGATTCTTCTGCTCCCGCACAGATTTGCAGTCTAGCCTCTCTTTCTCCCCCAGTACATCCCTCTCTTTCGCTTTCTTGGGGGCCGCTGCACGTGCGCACTGAGACAGAGCTCGATATTTGGGCACTTGCTTTTGGCCCAACTAAGCAATAATTCCGAGGGAAACATTTATCAATCGCTTTTTATGGTTTTCGCTTGCCTCAGGGATTTTTATGTGACGGGCAGTTAAGTGTAATCCGACTGTCGCCTTTGACTTTCAGCTATCTTTACTTTTTATGCACTTTTTGGTTATATTTTTTGCTGTTGTTGTTGTAATTTTTCGGGTATTTTGGCCTTGTAAACAAGTTTAGAACTTTTGGCACATTTCTTTCTCGCACAGAAAATAAATAAAAAAAACAACAATTTTTGGAACTAGATTAGGGCTCCCGAACGAACCACTCGGCACCGCTTTTAGTGGCTCTCTGTGCTCAAGTTCTATTTGCGTTTGCTCAGAAACTCGGAATCCAACGACGGCAACGCGGCGGCAGAAAGAGAGGGCGCTAGCTGGGAGAAAGAGAGGGAAACACAAACCACCCCATGGAGTGATTGCGACAAAGCAGCGACGTCGACGCAGTGAAAAATCAATACTGCGCCCATGCGTCGACATCGCCGCCTGAGATGGCTATATACCGAATAAATACATAATGTCTGTCCGTCTTTCTCTGTCCCGAAAAGCTGCCTTGTCCTCTCCGTATGGAAATGAAGCCTCGAAAGCCTCAAAAACTTGAAATAATCATTCAGCAGTACTCCATCTACTCCATCTACTCCCTCATGGCCAAATAAATAGGCCGATAGAGTGCAATGTATACCCCTTTTTGGCCTCCCCCACTTGCTGGCAGAAGAGCACAGCTATATGGGTTAATAACACCCCCGACGGGAAATTGAGAGCAGAGATTCGGACACTGGAAAAGCCACCCCTAACACCCCACACCTCACAACTTTCACCACCAGCAACAAATACACACGCAAACGCGCCGAGCTCGAAGTTTAACCCATGATAGCACTGCTTATCCTGTTTTTTTCTCCGTTTGCTTGGTTCTTTTTAAACCACCACGCATGCACTGCTCGCGCCACCCAACCACCCTCTACATCGGATATGTTGCGAGGCAAAACACCACCATCCCATCCCCTTTAGGGGTTGTAAGCCCATTTCACTTGCGCGTGCCATACATCCGGCCACAGTGGCGGCCCCGAAAAGGTGAACCCACTTCTGGTGCTGGGCTCAATCCAGATTCAGACAGACAGCCGCTGTATGAGCAAGGACCAACCTGATTTCGTTCATCCCTTGCGACACTAATCTGGATGCTGAGCAAACTGGCTTCTCTATCAAGGACAGGGGGATCTTTTCACTTGGCTTGTACAGACAATAGAATAAAAAGTGAATTTGTTTAGAAACAAAAACATGTTTAGTAAAAGTAACAATGAAGGCAACCCTAACAAGTTTATAACAGCACACCTATTCGCATGGCCAGTGGTGTCGTGTGCCCCGTCTCTTTTCATTACGGGGTTGCGTGCGCAGGGTTTTTCCCTTCCCAGGCTTTGCCTGGAAAAAGTGCGCCGAGTGCCCCGAGATCCATGCTACGAGCGCCAAGCATAAGCCGGTGCCAAGGCAACTGGGCAAACCCTAACTTAGTTGCTAAGCCACTCCTAGTCGGACCCTTTGCACTTTGTATTTAAATTAGGTTTATACTTTTGATTTCCCAGTCTACAGCTCTACTATATTCTTAGATACTTCCCAATTCTTCACAAGACTATGTACTAATTATGAGATTTCTTTTAAATAAAAAACTCACTGCGCTTGCGCACGGAGATCACCTAGGAGTTTTGCTATCCTTAGGGGATTATAAGGCTGGTTTTTCCAACATTTTCAAACACTCCAAGGACAGTCGGAGCGCTACTAATGCTGCAGTGCTCTCCTGTCTATATTTATTCTTCTGATATGTAGATTATGTATGTGTATGTATGCGTGCGTGTGTGTGTGTGACCACAACAAATGCAAGCAAACTCCCACTGCGTCAGCGCACACACATCAACACATCAACACATCCACAACCACAGAGGCGGCTAATCGCTGCTGGCTGGAAAATCAAAGTCGAAATCAGTAGAGCTTGTCACTGTGGGCGTGATGCCAGAAAATAGAGTGTTATCAGTTCTAGGAAATCTATTAAGAACAATAGCGATCTCCCACCCAATTAGTTTAAGTTTCTCTAAGAGTCTTCCTCTACCTACAAAATTACTTTTTAAATTCAGTTAACAAAAGGAGATGCCTTGGGTTTCAGTTTTGTAAACATTTCCTACGTTTTCTTCTGCCACGAGAGACAAATTCTACCCCACCGTGCGTTCTTCCCTTTCTTATTCGGTCTCCTCTTGCAAATATATAATCGATAGCTGCTCTCTCTCTCTCTCTCTCTGCCTCTCTCTTGTTGTTTTCTTGCTGTGTACTTGACGCACACACTCTACAGAAACAATGATAACAGCGGAAAGACGAAAGAAAGGCGAGAAAAAATAAGTTACGCATGCGGCGGTTCGTTTTTTGCGGCGGTGGCGGTGGCGACGGCGCACCAACCACCGCATCGCCCACCCGCCGCCCACAGCCACCCACTCACAGGCACACACACACGAGGGCTATACACACGCAACGAACAAGAATTCACAGTGGCGGCACTAAAAGTTAACTACCGAAAGAAATCTTCATTACATTTTCAAATTCAAATTCAAATTCAAATTCAAATTACAGCCGTCATTATCTTAGCATTTACATTACGAAATTTTATTCAGAATTCATGAACCAGAAACCAGGCCAAGATAGGAGCTATCATTTTGGGAGGCAGCTGGGAATGCAAACAAACACAGCCTGGCGGCCACGTTGGCTTTCCCAATTGGAACTGTACTTTTCAAGCCACCCCCAAAAATCCCATTACAGTGGCGTCCTCGAATATTGCGAATGGGAAATCTGAACGAAGGCTGCTGCGAGCTAGCCGTCTCGCTCTATTTTTTGTTTTTGTTTCGTGTGTGTATCTCACAAATTTCCATCTTAAGGGGTGGTTTGGGTGGCTGTTGCAACCCCTAAGGCCGCAGAATCGCACACACACACACACACACACACAGATCCATAAGATGCACACACAGCTTCGAATCCGAATTGGAAATGTGTGTGGTGTGGGTGCTCCCAATTGGAAATGATAAGTGTTACGCATACGCCATGTATGCGAATGCAAAGTGCAACACCACCACCCCGCCCCCCTTCTTGCACCAGCAAGTTCTCGCGGGTTTTCCGCTTTTCATTTTCACATTTTAGCTGCGGCGCATGTTTTAATTACGGACACTCGCAGTTGGGTTTTGTTATAAGGCGCCGCTGTAACGGTAACACACAACTACATGCATAATTATCTGAGACATACACACGTAGGTCTGGCAAGAACCGTTAGTTTAGCTCTCGAGAACTTTTGCGCACTCACCTATACCACTAGAAGTCTATATTCTATGCATTTGTATATGTATATGGCCCGTATGTATTGTCGCTGTGGAAAATCGAATAATTTTCCAACACCTCCCCCCGCCTACCATTGCACACACACACAAACACACACACATACGCACCTGCGTGCTGTTGCTGTTGCTGATGTATTTGTGTTGTTGTTTTCCAGCTCCTTTGTGATAACACACACTCACACACAGATCCAAACGCTCACACACACACACACACAGAAAAGCACACACACGGAATAAAAAAAGGCGCACGCACACGAACGCGCCGCCGCTTTTGTGTATTGGTGTGTTTGCCCCTGCGCCGAAAATTTGTGTGGCGTTTATTTATTATCACACTGCACATGCGAATATTCCGTGCATTTTACATTTGCGCACTGCCGTTTCGTCGTCACCGCTCGAAGTTTCCCGCTCGCGAGTTGCCGCCGCCTTCCCTTCACGTTAGCGTACCGTTAGCTTAGTTTTCCGCTGCCTGTCGCAGCGCTTTTCCCCGATTTTCACGCAATTTTCGCGTTTTAATTTACCCGAGGAATGGTATTTTGTACATGACCAACTATCGATATGCAGAACGCGTGATTTCTTGGGTCGTCGATATCGCCAGGCGATAATCATCGCACATTCTAAGCACTCAATGGTCACACTGAAGGGTCCAGCGAAAACGACACATTGTCGGTCATACTAAATGTTTATTTCCCGCGCTCTTCATGCTTATTTGAAAATGTTGATTTACTTTTGGTTCTTTTTGGATATTGAAAACTATAAAAAGTTTTTTTTTTTAATAACGAAAAACGAAATTAGTTATTTCATGCTTAAGTGTATATGATTATTGAATAATTTTCTGAAAATGAGGCACTTCGTTTGATAAGCAGCGCTGCTTGTGCGATACCTATCGGAAGATGAACACGGCCTTCAATTTGGCGCCAAAATTCAAATTTTGATTTGGTGCAGCAGGAAATTCAAAAATGAAACAATTTCTAACTTTGTGCAGGAAACTTACGTTGCGGAATGGTTGTCTTAAAGATGTTTGTCTATCCTTTCCATTAGAACCTTTTTGAACAGCAAACTTAATAAGAAAAGAGAGAAACGAAAATGAAAAAGCTAACCACGTCACAATATTTCTTTGACACATCCGGATATAAGTTTGTCTTTGAAATAGACAAAAAGTAAGATTAGCAAATGAAACATTTAAAACGGAAACAAAACCACTTTAAAAAGGATGTTTTCGTCCTTTGAATAGTTTTTCGATATTAATCACTCACTATCAACAGGCTAAAAGCCAAAAAATAAAAAGTAAAGACAATATCAAAGGACATTTATCCTGCCAGTTGAGCTGCAATCACACGTAAGCCCTTCACAAGGCAGCTAGCAATATTTAAACAAAGGTCAGCTAGGCACGCCAAATGAAAAACTGACATACAATTAACTTCACTTTCCAAACGCGCAATTCAACTCATTTAACCAAAACTCAAAAAAAAAAAAAAGAAAAGAAAAACAAGAAACAGGATTAGGATAAGACCAGGGAATCCTGGTTAGCGACCGCTTGACTGCGACGACCGGAGGCGACTAACTGCTGGCAACCGAAAAGGCTGGGTTTTTAAGCCCGCCGTCGGCACCCACACAATAATATACATTATTAGGATATATATAACGATAAAGAGTCGGTTTTCGAACACAGATTGCCCGCATGCAAAAAGCGAAGAATTCCTAATATATAAAAAGAAACCACAGCCACTGGCAAGGGCTCAGCTTATCGCTGGGGAATGAGGCTGGTGGTGAGCCTGGGATTTATCTGAGACCGAACCGGGCTCTACTTAGGCCTTATCGGGCACTTTTCCGGAATTCTTCACGGACCGCTTATCGCTTCTGCAGAATCACGGCTGGCAGTGATCTTGAATTCCAAATCCAATCCCACTTGGGGCGACTCTATGTCGAATTGGGTCAACGTGGTACTCGCCACTTCCGTTTTTTATGGGCTTGTGGCATTTGTAGAAGCCAGATCCGCTTCTACGTCTGATTCAAATCACAGAAGTTGGGAATACTAGACATTATGGCTGAGTTATACGAAAAATAACAGAAATGTGACAGTTACCAGCAGTCATAGTACTTGTTTATGTACTTGGACTGATAGGTTCCTCTTTATTTATCCAAATATTTAGTTGATAAGCAAGAACATTACTACTTCTATAAGTTAGATTTACTTTGCCAATGACTATTTGCACGAAACTAACAAGGAACAAGAGCCAAAGCTATACAAATATTTCCATTTCTCATTTCTTTCTTTCAGAACTTGAAAATATGAACATTATTTCGGCATTAACTTGGTTTGGATTACCGGAAACCACACCATTCAGACACTAAGTAAGGGTTTAATATCTGGGTAACCATTATATCACCTCCTGGGTCCTAACCACTTACTTTATTATTGCTTTTCACTCACTCAACTTTACACCTTTATGTTCAAGGTCCTTCATGCGCTGCACACCACCCCCTTCCAGCCGCCTGCCAACTGCTTACCAGGCAAGGTCACGTGTTCTATGTACTCTGTACCATGTACTACGTACTATGCACTATATGTACTAAACAGGGGCCGACCAACCGACCAACCGACCAACTTTAACTGCCCAAACGTAATCGCAAGAGTTGCGTGGAGCTGCACAGGGTTTTCGGTTTTCCACCGATTACGGATTATCCTATTGTCTTGTGGAAACGCCGGCCGGTGGACAAAAGTGCAGCGTAGTTTCAAAACAAAACTATGCTCTTCGCTTTTCCTGGGGGCCTGAGTTCTCGTGGCGTGTTGCAAGTTGATGGAATGCCCGTGTGCCACTGGCAGCCAACTGTCGGCGACGTTTGCCGCCAATCGACCGCCCAGCCCAGTCATCCACAGCCACAGCCAGAGCCAGAGCCAGAGCCACATCTACAAACACACACAAAACGAAGTGACCCTCTTCCCACCTTCACCCACTGACCCACCGCAAGGATGAAAACACTACAATTGTAGTACTGGCAATACGGTAGTACTACGGCTCACACGGACACACACTCGTGTTATGGTGCACACTGTACCCAGTTCACATGGCGAATACGCAACGTGGACCGGAGTGCGCCTGCGTCTGTTTTGATATGAAAAGACATTGTCCTCTTCGCCTTTTTTCAGCTCCAGCGGCCTGATGGCCTACGCTGGATAGTTGGGGCCTATTTGTTCCTTGGAAGGAAAGGAAAAGACCTGCCATTTGATAGAGAATCTAGGATTCATAATCGAAGCGGGAAAACTAGGTAACTCAGCATCACTTTCTAAGAGTTACGAGTCTTGGCTATACTTAGAAGTCATCCAGATTCATTCGGGAGTAAGGGGAAAACCAATTTGTTATTTTTCCATAATGCCAGCATTCCAGATTTCGTATGGCCGAGGCCAAATTTTGTGGAGATTTGTCACGAGATGTGATTCATAGGCCATGAATCAGATTAATTACGAATCTCATGTTTTAATTTTAATTTCGCCTGCTAGTTTCGTTTGAAATGAAATGCCATTTGACTTAGTCATTAGTAATGGAATTTTACAGTTGAGGATAACTTCTTGAGTATAATATAAGAGGTTTTCTACTTTCTACTTTCATAAATGATTTTGGATACAGAGAGTGACTGTTCTTACCTTCTTTCAGTGTGGAATATGGTGTGCGGATGAGTGTGTGTGAGTGTTAACTTTAGTGTTGTGATGCATTTTTAGTGGTAGAAGTGTTTTCACGCCGTGGGTTGCAGCAAGATGTATTTGCTAAGTGCAACTATCAAAATAAAAACAAGAACACAAAAATAAATTAAAAGAAATTTAAAGGCAATACTTAAAAGTAAGACATAGGTGTAGGGTGACTAAACATAAAGAGCTAGCTACTTTGCAGAGCCCTTGCAATGCCCCGCTGGCTAACCTTTATCCTTGGTCCTGCACGTTTCACGTTTACTCGGCTGACCTTGCATCAAATTTTATCGTCGATTACAGACACTATTGATTGTTCGGCCCGATTTGCCACGCCCCCGCCTTCAGGTGCTTTGCCTCTAATCTGTACAGTGTCTGGGCCAAGTACAGTGAGTACTCCAAAGGCGGGAATTTCGAAATGATAACGCTGGCATCTGACTTAAAGCTTAAAGCTCGCTACCGGCGAAACTTTCGACGGGATGAAAAACACAATAGGAACTTTTAAGCACAAAAAAATTCCTCGCCCTTGCATTTATTTCCGGTTCTTGTCTTTCGCTTTTATTAATTACATTTATAATTATTCATTATGTATATGTATGTATATAGTATATGCATATATGTATTGCCGTATGTAAATATTCATATTGATGTATATATATATATTTATTTATCTGTTAGATATCCAGCTGCAGAGGTTGTGGCCTAGGAACCAAAGAAACTCGCGTCCAAAGAGGGCTTCCAGAGTGCTGCCAGAGTACTGACTGACTAAATGGGACACGCTACTCCGGAAGTTTAAGGAGGTCATCCCACTTACGACTCTGTATTTCTGCCCACAAAAACATTGAGATGACTTTAAAGTAATGTAAACTAATGTTGTAATCCAAGAAACACCCCCAAAGATATGTAACTTAGCGACTTGTTGTGGGCGTAAATACCTAGGGATCAGGATCGAGATCGGGATCGAGATTGGGATCGCTAACACCTTAATCAATTCTACGTGGCTTTGCTTGCTTTTGTCTTTTGTTAACTAACGCACTGTGTCCTCGAAGTGAGTTTGAACTTCGTTGGTAATTAGTAATGACGAAAGGCCAAGAGCCTTCTCCACTCGGCTGGTGGCCACAGTGCGCTGCCTAACTAAATCAATGGCTATGTAATTATATGTTACGTAATGCTGTAATGCTGTAATGCTCACACTCCGTATACCCGTATTTCTAGGTACTTTCTACTACTCACTTACTCTAGCACCCTGCTCTGTGCTTTGGCCAACTCTTGCTGGGGGAATCCCACTAGAACAACAACAACAACAACAATGTAGATACACCTAGTCTTTGGAGCTGGGCCAGCCTCAGATCGGGCTTATACATACTATATATATTGTATTTTGAAACAACCAGTGACACACATATAACACACACACACACACACACAGATATATATATATATAGTTGATATTGTACGATTTGCTGGAGCTAAACAAGTACATATGGTAAATTCTTAGAAGTTTTCGTTTCGTTTCGTTTCGTTTCGATTGCAACACATCAATATCCGTATAAAGTTATAATAATACGCCTTGGCCTTCGAGCGGTACTCTCGTCTAGTAATCCCATAGCTATGTACCGAATATATGTATATATAAGTATTTTGAAGTATTTCCTGTAGCAATACATAGAACTATTATACTGGTATAAATATAACACTCTGTCTTGGTTTTTTTTAGTTTTTGGTTTTTTGGTTTTTTTGGTTTTTTGGTTTTTTGGTTTTTGGGGGTTCGAATTCGGGTATATATAGTATTATTGTTCCACAAATAAATTACGTGTGATTACCGATTACCGATTACCGATTTCCGATTACCGATATACTATAACATATAATAGCTTTGGCCCGTTTTTCGTTCTGTATCTCAAAAGTAACGACTACACCTCCCTCCACATACCACATAACATCTTCAAATATATACTATATATATATATATGTACCATATTTCTATCGATCTATACTCGTATTCTCGTATTTTGTATTTGCATTTGCTTTTGTCTTTGGTGTTTTCATTGCGTTTTCAATCTTAACCTTCAATCTTCTTCCCTCTTCTCTGGCATTAACCAACACTACTACCTAACCGTTAAATGGGATCAAAAAAAAAAAAGGAATACCAACTAATTTTACACTCATCACGGTTCTACAGATTCTACAGACAGTGGTCCTAGCTGCCTTTAGCAAGTCCTTGCCCATCTGAGATACTTCTTAACTATGCATTTGCTTTCGTTTTCATTTCCGGCTGTCTTATCTCCGCTTCTCAACACTGGCGCCTGGTTCTACCGACCTATTGTCTACAAAAATATGTACGTCTTCGCTGTCTTCCAGTACAGGGCTCGCTACGAGGTTAATCTATACACAGATAAATCATATACATATCGATATTTATATATCTATATATATTCCTGTACTGTCGGAGAAGGAGAAACTGTAACTAGACACACACACACACACACACGCACACGACAATCAAGCTATAGTTTAACGCTGAGACACATATAAAAGAATGCTCTCGACCTTGGGACTAAGTAGTTTGTGTATTTTATCTGAGTAAGCCATAGAGCTGCTGTCTAAGGATTCAACTTTCTCTATCGGAATATCGGAATATCGGAATACTTCCACTCCCCGTATATATATATATATATGTATAAATATATTGAAAGCTGAGTTTGAGAAACCGGAGGCTGATATATAGGTACCGAAGTTATTAGAGCGACTATAGCAAGAGAGAGAGAGGTACACTCGAGTGCGGTTCGATTTGGTTTTGGATAGATTTAAAAGTTTGGTAAGTCCTAGAAGGGAACCTCCGTTCCAGCGGCTTAGTTTTATTACCCTGAAGACTACAGGTCTATTAGCTAGTTGACCTTCTTTCCTCTCCTAGCGATTCTAAATAAGATTTCTAAAGATTGAAATATGCCGAGAAGTATGCTGTAAAAATAATACTATTCAAGATGCCTTTCAAAGGCGATTAGTTTAAGTTCAAACTACGGGTATTAGTTAGCATTGCTTGTTAGGTCAAAAGTGGAAAATGTAATCAAGGACCAGTAGTACAGGTGCCTGCCCTTCTTATTTACCTCAGATGCTTGTCTCTAGGTAATAGCTTGACGTGGAAGTAAGCCCCGTTTCGGAGAAGTATTGAAAACCGTTTTGTAGGAGACCGTTTTAAGTTTAGCTTTAGTTTGGTTTAGCTGCCGTGGTGCCGCCTTCAAATCGAGTCCGCACCTTTAGGAGATGCTGCACGAGTTGCGTTTGGCGCCCAAGCTCCGTTCCTGGATTCGCTGGAGGTGCTGGAGCTGGGCAGGTGTCGGGGCATGCGAACCGCCACTGGAGGAGGCCGCCGCTGCTGCTGCGGCCGCTGCCGAGGTTGAGGCCGAGGACCCGCCTCCGGAACTGTGGTGGTGCGGCTGCTGCGACTGGTGGTGGTGGCTGTGGTGGTGATGGTGGTGCAACGGGGTGCCCGGCCCATTGTTTCCAATTTGCTGCGGCAACGACTGGCGACGACGTCGCAGGGCCGGACTCAAGTTGTAGGTGATCTTCGCCTGGGCCAGCAGCTCCTTGAACACCTGCAACGTTACAAGCACTTGAATGCTGACCTTAAAGATGGCACAGATGACTCTACTCACCTGGGTGATGTTCTCATTGATGGCGGCCGAGGCCTCTACAAAGCCATTCTCCCAGTCCACAGTGACCACCGATTCCGTGGTGGCGTACTCCACCTGCAAAAGAACAGCAATAATGTATTAATAAACTGAAAACTCTTTAAAAATTGGTTGATAACTTATCAATGCCAGAGACGGCAAGCCGTTTCCAGCTCAACTATCACAAATTAATTCATTTCGCATACAGCTAGCCACCCTCAACCGCCCACTGCCTCCCAATACCTGCCACGACCCAACTAAAAATTGAGCCCCAGCCAAACTTTATTATTTCTTATCGGCAACGAAAATCCTTATAGACGTCTAAATTGCGCCGATAAATGGGAAAAAGGCAACAAAAAATTGAAAAAATATAAAGAAGGTGGAAAAGGGCAGGGCAGGGCAGGGCGGGGCAGGGGCAGGGGAGCGTCTTAAGACGGCCGTAGAAATTTGCTGACTTTGAACCGGGCCGAACGTTGGGGCTTAATTCTTCCAAATGAACAAACTCAAAGGGCGCCAGTGAGCGGCTACGGCAACAAAAAGGCAAGCGGACCCTACCGAATTTTGCAGACCTCTCCGCCCCCTCCCCTCTGCAAGGCTTAAAGCGGTCTAACCCAAAAAAGGAGCCCCGCAACACAAAGGCGACAACAAAAAGTTGATTTCGCTTCGTTGAACAAAAAAATACACACTGCCTAAAAAAGGGAGTCAGGGAAAAGAGCAAGAGCAAGGAGGAAATGCACTGGAAGAAATAGTTAGCACTTGGAGATACAGAAACTGATAAAAGCTCTTTTTTATGAGATTTACGGAAATGAATTTGCCAAAAACAATAACAAACATGACATTTCTTTGTGAGATAAGTGATATAACGATGGTTATGGTAGTAGATCCTTCATAAGTAGCTGCGTTTTCTCTTAGTGTAGGGGGTGTACGGGGTACTAAGAGGTGGGAGAGGGTGGCGGCGTCGAGGGGCTAAGCCAAGGAGCGCGACAGTCTGGCGTTTGCTAGCAATTTGCATTTTTATTATATCAGAACTCGGTTAAAGTCAATACACCCCGAGGAAGATGAAGGTGAACGAAGGAGTGGTAAGCAGTGTCAAGCAGTGGGGGAGGGAAAGAAAGCAGTGCAGCAGGAGCAGGAGCAGAAGGAGAAGCAGGAAGCCTGGTCCCCGAACTACTTATGCATATAACTACATATAGGACATATACTACATAAATAATGGCGAAATACGCACCGGATAAGCGACAAGCAATGAGAAAGGAGAAAGCAGCAGCAGCAGCAGCAGCGAGGGAAAAGGTAAACAAGGCCAAATTAAAATTTATAAAGGCCAAATGGAGGGAAAACCCGCTGGCCCTTTAAATTGATTTCATATATTCACTTCCAAGATATAGTTTTTGATATTTGGGAGTCATCTAGATATAGATCTCTTTGATGTTATGCAACTTGGTTATGCATACATTAGACCGGTAAACTCTTCACATTTCACCTTTCGCTCGAACAAGTCAAATTTCCGGTTCCGGTTCCATTTCTGCTTTTCGCAATTCAAAATTTTGCCCATCAAACTGGAGTTTCCTCTGCTCTTTTCCGCCGCAAACTTACTTTTCCCGTTCATATTCGTACCTTTGCGAGTTTCCCTCCCCCCTCGAGCACCCTCCTTAGTTTTTATGCCCGGAATTTATTAGAATCACTTTGGTGTGTGACCCGAAGGCCTTACTTATGTGGGGGCCGGGGCGATGCCCACTTAAGATATGCAAAATACTTCGACTTCGCATCAGCTGGGTGGGCATTATTATTATTATTACGATAAGGTACTCTCAATCGAGACTATTTCGCGGGAAAGTAATCTTGGAAATGGCATTGCATACCCTTCTATAGATTCTCAGACCTTGTCATCGCTGTAGTTCAACGTGAAATCAGGACAATCTTAGAGCCCAGAACTTCCTAGATATTATTACATAAGTTGAGACTGCCCTAAGATGGCAGCCGTGAAACAATGTGTTTACCAACTCATCGCATTCTAATTGGCTGCGCTGCTGTGTTGCTTTCATTCAAAGGAAACCCATACCTCATTTTCCTCGCCTTCTTGCCGTTGGCATTTTCCTTAGTTTTTGTCTGTCAAATTCTTGCCGCTCGTTTCTTTCGGGAAGAATTGCAATGCAGCTGACAGCAGAATGGCTGCAACTTGCAAGTGGAAAGGGAGGCGGTACGGGGATGGGAACCGCAGATGCAGTTCTTATGATGCCCGCCGGCTTTCCACTTTCCACTTTCTTCTCCCAGCCCAGCCGCATGCCACGAATCTCCCTTTTCACTAATTATGCAAAAGCTGCCAAGGAGAAAGCGAAAGACGGGCACAGCAAGAAATAATACTTAAAAACTAATAAGCAAGTTGAAGCTTAAATAGTTTGATTCTAACCCGAAAATGACTGACAGTTGCTTCCAAGGTAATGTATGTTCCTTGAAATATTTGAAACACTCGAGAGGGGAAATGGTGAAAGGCTTTCCTTAGTTTCCCACTGCTCCAGCTTACAGTCCTCACAACTTCATGGCAATTTCCCGCAGTGCTGCCACACTTGATGGCATTTCATTTCGTGCGACTTTCGCGCATAGTTTGCACTTTATTCCGCCAGTCTGTCTGTCCTGCCCAGCCTGCTGTCTCTGATATTATGTTGCAGTCCCCTTCATCTGCCACGCCCCTCTCACTGCCCACCATCCACCGCCCACCGCCCACCTTGACATTTTAAACGCTACATTCTTCGTTCCCCGTGACATCCGAAACAGCTGGGCAGTGTTTTATGTCCCTTCGCTGCTCCACAGAGCTGCACGTGAAGTCACTCATATTGCGGGAAACACCGCGTTCGCACTGCCAACCATTTTTAGACTGGGGGCTGTCTCTGCAAATATTCGGACAAATTGCTTAACTGACTCCCCTTTGGCACCCCCCGCTGCCACTGCCACTGCCTTTGCCACTGCCATTGCCAGTTGGGGAAAACTTTTGATTAAACTGTTTGTCCTTTTTTCCATCCCACGCTTTGCGCGCCCGACAAACTTTACATAATTGCTGAAAACGCCTCGTGTTGCCGCCTCGTCGCCGGCAAAAGCAATTTGCGAGGGATCTGGGGGCGTGGCAATTGGAACAATGGAGCGATTATTATTGTATAAAGATGCCTTCCAGCCAAATCCACGCCGACGACGCCGAAAAGAGACAACAATCAAAGCGGTCACACTTTCCCGCTTTCGGATAAATGACAATTAAAATTGATGCAAATTGGCCGAGCAGAGCAGAGCGGGCCAGCAAACGACCTCTGCTTGTCCTCTGAAGAATCGCGGCCTTTGTTTCTGCTGGAGAATTGATTAGAAATAAGAACTTTGTTAGCCACCCACCTCCCGCTCAGTTTCGCCATCGGCCAGCAGGTCGATCTTATTGCCGACGACCACAATCGGAACTGCGGAGGTGGCCTTCGTCTCGTGGATCTGGTCGCGAATCGCACGCACCTCCTCGAAGGTTGTGGCATCGGTGACGTCGTAGACCAGGATGAATGCGTCCGCCGAGGATATGGAAAGAGCACGCATCGCCGGGAACTGTGGGCAGAAGGGAAAATAGATTGTAATTAAGATTCCAACAAACTGGCATTCAAATCTAGATTTATTCATTACCCGACTTTTGGTTTAACCCGATTAGCCCCTCAAAATGTCAGTTTTGTTCTCATAACTAAGTCAACAATGGCCCGAATTCGGAATGTCATACATTCTTAAACTTGTAATTAAAATTCCAACAAAACTATATCCCCACCTTGAAAAGTCAAATTTTGCCCGTTTTTCTCAAATTTTGATGATGTTACCCCTTATCGGGAATGCGAGTTTCGGTTTCTCCCTTTTTCGCTCCCAAAAGATCAGTATTTTTCTCATAACTTGGCCAATAATGGTCCGAATTCGGAATGTAATACCTCGTTGAGCTCGTAATTTGATTTCCAACAAAACTGTGTCCCCACCTTGAAACGTACAAATTTCGACAGTTTTCGTAAATTTTTCTTTATCGAAAATGCGAAATTTAGCCGAAAAATGAATTTCCCAAAATCGAAAATCGAGTGATAGGGGTGGTAAGTGTTGGTCGTTAGCAGCATAAAACAGTCGTTCTTTTGGCTGTGCGACTTGTTTCGACCGAGTTAGAGCTAAAAAACCGAGCATAGTATTGCAAATTTCTGTTAGAAATCGGTTTCCTGATTTTTTAGCCCTTAAAACAGAGCTCGCACCGAAAAATCAGAGAAATAATGATAAAAGCAAGTATAGGAGCTTAAAGTTTTGCTTGTTAGCTGCACAAAACAGTCATTGTTTTAGCCATGCGACCCCGAATCTATGCTGTCAAAAGACGTATACTTGATTTTTGGCGCAATAAAATCAGTTATTTAGTCATAGCACAGCCAAAAATCATCCAAATGAAGAATGTAATACCTCGTTGAGCTCGTAATTTGATTTCCAACAAAACTGTGTCCCCACCTTGAAACGTAAAAATCTTTCCATTTTTCGCAAAGTTTAATGATGTTACCCCTTACAGAAAATCCAAAAATTTGTTAAAAATTAAAACTCTCAAAACCATCAATCGAATGATGAGGAAAGTTTGTTCTGGTCGAAAGCTGCTCAAAACAGTCTTTGGTTTAGCTCTGAGCCTTGTTTTGGCTAAGTTATAGGCATAAAACCGATCTGATATACGAGGTGTGTTCAAAAAGTAAGGTGACTCTTCAAATTTCGCGAATTTCAAATTTTTCGATTATCGATTTTTTTGTTTTGTTATATTGGTACACTCTTCCCTAACATCTGTACCAAGTTTCAATGGAACATCCTCTTTTGTTTGGTTGTGAGAGGCGTAAAGTTACAAGTTGTTTTGCGAGCTCGGCGATTTTTTGCTATCGAAAAATATGGATCAAAGGATTTGGATTTTTTGGCCAAAAACAACACCACAATAATGCCTCAGCCACCATATTCACCGGATTTGGCCCCATGTGACTTTTTCTTGTTCCCAAAACTGAAGATAATCGAAAAATTTGAAAAATTTGAAATTTGAAAAGTCACCTTACTTTTTGAACACACCTCGTATAACTTCTAAAAGGTTTCGATAATCGAAAAATTTGAAATTCGCGAAATTTGAAGAGTCACCTTACTTTTTGAACACACCTCGTAGTACCATTATCTGTCGAAACTCAAAATCCTGATTTTAGCTCAAAAGTAATCAGAATTATTCTCATAAAAAAGCCAATAATTGTCGGAATGTGGAATGTCATACATCGATGAATTCGTTATTAAAATTCCAATCGAACTGTGTTCGCAGTTTGAAATGTCAAATATTTTGAATTTTTCACAAAAAAAGACGATGTTATCTCTTATCAAAAATGTGAAATGTAGCCAAAAATTGATTTTACGAAAATCATCACGAAAATGATACAGAAAGTTTGTTTCGGTCGTTAGCTTGCCGAAACAGTCTTTCTTTTAGCTGTGCGACTTATTTTGACGAAGTTATAGGTAAAAAGGCTGAAAAATGTATTCAAAATCTACGTTACGTGGGTAACAGGTTTGAGTACACTCTCAACCTGTCCACTGGTGTCAAACTATGGATGGATGACAACCTAATATTACTAACTTCTAGACACTCTTTTATTGCGTTTAATGTTTTCATATATAATTTATGTTCCCTGCCTGGCCAAGTTCTGCCTGGCAGTACATAAAAATGCGTAAACAGAAAAATGAGTTAAGGAGCTGAACAGGGAATGTAAATTACAGCAACAGCAACAGCAACAGCAACAGCAACAGCAACAGCGACGGCAATCATCAACGGCAATTGTTTTCTCAATGATAATTTGCATATTAATTCCCCACACACGCACATATTTGAATAATCAGGGATAATAATGCAAATTGTGTGTTCTATGCCCGTTAAACATTTTCACACTTTTCACCATCCCCCACCCCCATCAAGCAGAAGGAGATATTGGAATCTCTTTGTTCTGTGCGCGAGGAGAGTCCACGGAATTCTATAAAATCCAGCCCGCCATCCAGCAGAACGCTTTTCCCATAGCATTTCCTGCTAAATTAGCCCAAAACTCCCCACAAACGAAAGTGCTCACGTGCGACAGCTCACAGCTTTCAAAATTGGATAATTTGCCATGTTTTGCAGCTCGGACAAAGCTGAAACCAAATGGCCTTCAGCCATGCGGCAATAGTTCAGTTTTTCCTTTAAATAAAATAAAAGTTTCCAATAAATGTACATTGAATAACCCCATCAAACTGGAAAGTCTTCTGTTAGACACGAGTGGGAGAAGGTCCCAGCTTGTTCACCCAATTACTGGTTGGAAAGTATGAAAATGGAAATGAAAATGAAAATGAAAATGGAAATCACTTTGCCATTAATGCATGCGAAAGTTCACCGCATTTTGCAATCCGACATTCCTTAATTAATATTTACACAAAAGTGTGCCCCTGCTTGTCTCTGGTTTAATTAAAGGTCCTTGATGGCTCCACCACTTTGACCCTGACCTAAGCCGAGCCCCTTCCTCCCTTCCTCTGTCTGACATCTGACCCCATGTCATTGCATGTTGACGATTGTGGCAGGTTGTGTGATGCCCACCAACCCAAAACAGAGTCCGCATGTGTACAATTTGTGAATTGTGTTTTGAATCTTTCAGAGTCCCAGTCCCAGTCCCAGTGCTAGTCCCAGGACAGCTGGGAGTTTTCCGAGTTCGCTGATTTTTCGGTAGCTCCCCCTCGATGTGGCAGTGCACTGAGCAAAAAGCCAACCTACTATCTGCTGTTAACAAACCGAAATGGCTGCCTGTACTTTCTAACCAAGGTGCTTACTTCCCTACTCCTCACTCCTCCAGCTGACCCACTTTTCCCCAAAGCAGCCCCACAGCCACTCTTTTTCCGTATGCAATTGCTGAAACTGAATAACAAATGAATCATAACACAAATGAAACGAATTAGAGCCACGCACTCACAGGAGATTTGAATGGGCGGCAGAGAGGGGGCAGTCGGGAAAACTGCGGCGACAGTTCACTGGCATCGTCTTCTTTGCCATTCTCGTTTGTCTGACTGGCGGCGGCAGAAACCGCAACCGCAGCATTTTGGGCACAATATATACTCGTTCGTACGTTGTGCAGGGAAATGCGAACGAAAGGGTGGCGCAGAGGTGTGGGAAATGTGGGAAAAAGGCAGCCAGCCAACCAGCCAACCATCTAACCAGCCACCCACCCATACAGCGCACTAATGGCTTTCAAAATCATGTGCCTGGGCCGAGTTAGTTTCAAATTGAGTACGCACACAGACGACAGGCCAGCAAGCAAGCCGGCAGGCAGGCTGACAAGGAAGGGAAACTGTGGGTGGAAAAGCGGTCCGTGTTAATAAAAAGGCTACCATTGAAATGTGCAGGCCACTACTGAGAAATGAAAGTCCAAATGAGAAACCCCCGGCGAGCAAAAACAAAAACTGAATGCCGAGGGAAGGCCCTCGAAAAAGCAGAACAGAAACGGAAAAACAAGAAAGCTGGAAAAAAGACACAATGACTAACCAAGTGTCGTGCAGTTCGGATAACCCGAGAGTGAAAGGCAGAAGATAAGGACTGACCTTGGATCTGAACTTGAACCTGAACCCAGAGACCAGAGACCAGAGACCAGGGACCAGGGACCCAAGACCCGAAACCCCAATCGGAAAGCCATAACAGTCATTGGAAAATGATGGTAGTTATTGGGAAAATAGGAAAAACATTGTCATGGGTCCCTTAAGTTTGCATTAACCAATTAATACTCAGAATGTGTCTTAACTTATGAGCTGAGTTTTGGTTATAGATGAAGGACATCTCCTTCGTCCCTGCAAACCTGTTCCTGGAAAAGGAATCCTTCATCCTCTTGGCTGTGGAATTTAAGCTTTCTCGTCTGATCTCGTTTTTCTTTCGGCTCTTCAATGAAACTTGTTTAGTTTTCCCTCGCATGCTGCTGCCCATTTCCATTGCTTTCTCTCTGCGTTGTTTTACTAGCTTTTCCTTGGTTTGGAAAAACCCATGTTTTTCTCTCATCAAAAAAGAGCTGGCACTGTTTTTCCTGGCCTTTCCTCCTCTTGATATGATAGCATATTACTGTAAATAACACGAGGAGTGAAGTGCCAGCTCAGCTCGGCTCCTTCGCCTCCAAAACTTTGCTTTGCTTTCCTCAAGTTTTTTGTGCTCTTGAGTTCTCCGCATTCTGCATACGCCCCGTTGCCAGCCCAATTCACTCGTTTTGCATAATTGAAGAGAAACTTCCAAGTATTAGCTCTTAATTTAAACTCATCATTCCGCGAGGTTGGCCATGGAAATGCCTCCAGCCAGCCCCCCTCTGCCCTCTCTGCGGATGATGTGGCGTCATGTGGCAAAGGTAAGCAAAAACCCAAAACCCAAAAACCCAAAAAAAACACATGCACTCGATATGCACTTAGTTGATTCGGACTAAGGCTGAAACAAAATGCAAAACTTTAACTTAGTTTGGAGTTCCTCTAACTTGATTCACACGTGCCGCTCCGTGTGGCAAGCTCTGCATTTATTGAATTTCCCTTCCCCTCCCCTCTCCGCTGGGTTTTTCTTTGTCAACAACATAGTTTAATATCGGGCACAGGGAGGAGCTTTTTCCTAATCGGATGAAGACCAACAGGACAGGAAAGGCAGGCTCATGGCTCTGTTCTGGGAATTTGTTATTGATTCAACACTGGGACTGGGACTGGGACTGGGACTGGGCTGCGTTGCAACTACAAAGCTCTGCCAGTGTAAATAGTCTCGATTTAAAAATGAAAAATGAAAAATGGAAAACCAAATAAACAGATATTAAAGCATATGGATTTCGTGCTATCTTTCCATTTGGCCAAACTGTTTGCTTTGCTCCGCTAAATTCCAGTGAATGCCCTGCAAATACAGCGCGATAATGTCAAAGGTTGATGGCTGTCCATGTGGTTAGTCCTGCTCCCGCTCCCTTGTGCCTTCCTGTTTACCTTTCCAGGCACAAACAATGCAAAAAAAAGGAACACAATCTCCCGCTTGTGGCCAGAAATGAGTGATCAATTTGGAGCCGGGCTCGGGTTAATTTGAGCCCTCAATGGAAAAATGGAAAAGCCAGCAGCAGCACCAGCAGCAGCCCCCTTAATATGCCATTATCGACTCATAAGGTTTGCGTTATTTATTTGCAAAATGGAGAAGAAAGAATGGAAAATGCAAAATGCAAAATGAAAAATGTAAAATGTGAATATGTGGAAAAGGGTGGGCGGGTGAATCCAATTACATGTCAGGCTGGTCGGCAAACAATGCCAGCTTTATTTTGCAGTTTTTTCAGCCAGGCCAGGCCCAGCCCAGCCCAATTCAATTACAATTATCAGGATTCGACGAGGAGGGAAATGGGTAATTTATGGGTCGACCACGTCCTATCTTCGCCACTCTGCCAGCCATAGACTAAAATGTAATATTTAACATTTACTTCCCCTGCCTACCGTAAGTATAGACTTTAAAAATATTTGCAAATTGGAATTTTTGTGCAAATACCATTTGCGGAAGGTAAACAGCGGAGTTATTCGCCCGCTCGGCCAGTAATTTCACTGGCTGGTTGCTGGTTGCTGGTTGCTGGTCGCTGGTCGCTTTTGGCGGAATAAATACTAGCCAGCTATGCCAGCGGCCTGTTAACTTTTGGCACACGCAAAAATATCACTCATACGCATGGCGGAACCTTGCGGGACTAAGTCAGCATGAAAACTATTTGGCCAGCCAGCGGAATGCGAGAGTTGATGGCCCGCAGCGATGGCGATGGCAATGGCCGGGCTTAAAGCGCGGTTCGGCTGCCTAAGCTCTCGGCTAAAACTGTTTTCCCGCTGCAGCCTCCAGTTTGAATGCCTTTCCTTAACTCCTCGCGAGAAGTGCGTTTTCGGATTGACGCAAGATTTATCGTTGCGAAACGCACTGTCCTCCGAAGTGGTTGTGTTTGCCTTTCGCCGCAACAGAACAATGCCACTTGCGAGTGGCGAGCCACTTGGCTGCAAATGATTGCGCATCCGCACCGTGTGCCGCACCACCCCAAGGCAAGATGGCACACACAAAAAAAGAGTGCACTCTCCATGGATTTTAGTCGGGTTAAAAGTCCCCTCTCGCCCATCACCCATCGCCCATCGGGCATCGCATATATCACAGGATTATGTGACGGCAGACTTGACCTGCCCCTCCTCTCGCCCCACCAAAGGCTGACTATTATTAACCCAACACACTGCACTGTACTCGCAGAAACGTGTTTACACACAGCCCATGATATGTCCTGCCACTAGGCGATTTATGTTTTCTTTTTTTTTTTTTTTTTTTTTTGATATAACAATATTAATATTTATTAAACGTCAATCAGCCAACTTAATGGCTATAATACGTTGAGTACTACATAGAACAAATAACATAAATACCTAACAGGAAGGAAATTAACAAATTTTTATAACTAGATAACTAGAGATCAATGCTAAATGCTAATGCTAAATTTACTGCTTTAGGACTCGAGAAATTTGGCGTCCTCTTGTCCAGAGATCGGCTGGATGCCTTCGCTTTAAACGTCTTCTTATAGTAGTGTGAGCTAGCGAGGAGGCTAGGTGGTTTGTGTGAGCTGTGAGACGATCGTTATACCGACTCGAGTGCCTGTTTATCTGTTCCCTAATAGAGGGAATGTGGAGGTCATCTTCTAGAGCTTTGTTTCTGACGTACCAAGGCGCATTTGCAATCATGCGTAACGCCCGGTTTTGAACCCTTTGAATTTTCATGACGTTAGAATCCGAAGCCAAGCCCCATAGTTGGATGCAGTACATCATCGAGGGCACCACAATTGATTTGTACAGTAGCACTTTGTTAGCTAGGCTTAGCTTGCTCGTTGGCTTAAGCAACCAGTAGAGTTTCCTAAGCTTGGAACGACAAGTAGCTGCTATTTTCGAAGTATGCTGCCTCCACGTGAGGCGCTTATCTAAAATGAGGCCCAGGTACTGCGCCTGTGATGATTGCGGAATGATGTCGTCGTGAAGTTTGACCTCCGGAAGGGACTGCACTCTCCAAGCGAAACAGCAGTGTTGTGATTTCCTTCCATTAATCGCTATGTTCCACCTGTTGGTCCACTTGCCGTATGTGTCCAGAAATTCCTGGGTGATTCTTGATGCCTCGATACGGCAAGAGGAGTTGACTAGGAACGCCGTGTCATCGGCGTAGGTGGCCAGAAGTGTGTTTGGTTCATTCGGACAAGGCAGGTCAGAAGTGAACAGAGTATACAGCACGGGACCCAGGACACTCCCCTGTGGAACCCCAGCACGAGCAGATCTTATGCTTGACCTCACTCCTCTTACTTCAACCATAAAACTTCGACCAAGTAAATATGATTTAAGTAAGAGGAATTGGGCAGTCGGGAGAAGAGATTTCAGCTTATACAGCAGGCCATCATGCCACACGCGATCAAAGGCTTCCTTAACGTCGAGGAAGATAGCAGAGCTGTATGTTTATGTTTTCGGGGCCACTACAGGCACTCTATGGCTCACCCCTTCGTTCGGGAGTGGAGGGTAGAGGGTCGTAAAATATATGAGCAATGCGTGAATGTGTTAAAATTTATGCCTCGCTGGGCTGCTTGCTTATTACACACACACACACACACAGAGAGGCCCCCTTGTTTGTTTTGGCTTCCATCGAACGCAAGGGTGGCGATTCGGCCTGATTTCGGAGATGATTCCTCCAAGCGGGCTCCTAATGATTATCCCATTTCCCATTTCCAATTTCAAGGGTTTCGCTTGAGCTGCCGAGCGAGTCCGTTTCATTAGTTCCATTCCCTGTTCTTCCCTTGTCTGTGTTCTGTGTGCTCTGTGTTCTGTGCTGTGTGCAGTGTGTGCTCTGTGTTCTGGCCTCCATGTCTCTTGTATCATTGCATTGTACATAAATCGAATATGCCATATGCTGCACGGCAAGAAACGGGTGTCTGCCCTTGCTTCCTGCAGCTCTAGCTTCTCTTTTTGGATATCCAAGCACATTCTTGTTGAGAAATCTTCTCGTTCCCATTTCCCTTTGAATTAATCAACTTTTATCAACATTTAATGGATTTTCCCTCAGTGCAGGCGGCAGATGATTCCTCAAGTGCTCCCTCATTTCTCGCCAAGGACACAGCCTCGAATGTCGAATGTCGAGTCGAGAGTCACAGTTCAGTTGGCTTCACTGGGCTTGCAATCCCTGCCTGACTGACTCCATTTGTAGCATACATCCATCGGGCCATTGTGCCTGCATTCATAAGGCCCGACTATATATATATTCTTCATGGAAAGGTGAGGCGTGGCGTGGCACACCCCCCTTTTTCACGAACAAGAGCATTTCGATTCACGCGCAGCGGAAGTGCCAGTGAAATTGAATCGCAGGCTGTAATTTCCGCTGCAGCCAGCTGGATGATGATGATGATGATGATGATGGTAATGATGGTGGCCAGCCGCGTTCCAGGAAAATCAGCAGCCATGTATCCAGGAATCCAGGACTGCAGGACTCCAGGTACCGGAGGTACGTGCAGCCAGAACCCTGGCCAGTTGTCGCTGTTGGAAATTATTGAAGAGCCAAACTAAACTAAATGCTCCTGGCGCCCTGTTGCAGCTCATTAGAGTCGGTTATTTAAAATTAAAAGCCCTCCCACTCCTGCCCCCCTCCTGCACTCCGAAGACCCAGGGGAGCTTGAGTGAAACTGCTGAAGGTCCGGCCACAGGATAAGCCAGCCCGAGTGCCTGCTCCGGCTGTTTGCCCCCTCCTCTGGCCACAGACAATTTGATTCACTTAATGAAGCCAGAAAGGAAAGTGAGTGCACTCACAGAAAGAAGGACTACGTTCGGTGAATCATAAAATAGTTTGGCCACCAAGAAGGAGTGACTGAATCAGGCCTTGCCTCTTCCCCTGCCATTTCGATCATTCAATCGGACGGAATTTTCATTATCAAACGGTAAGGGACAACACACTTATTTCTAGGAGTGAAAAACTCACCTCGTAGGATCCGGCGGTGTCCAGGATGTCGAGGGTCAGACTGACGCCGGCGATGGAGAAGTTGCCTTGGTGCATCTCCTCGATGGTCCGCTTGTACTTGGTGCTGAAGGTGTTGTACAGGAACTGGGTGATTATCGAGGTCTTGCCCACTTTCGCAGAGCCCATGACGACGATTTTGTGGCGGGCGTTGGCCGGTCCGATGGCATCGTCCACCGCGTTGTTCCTGCCCACTCTGCGTATACGTGATTTTCGGTTCGGAGTGTCAAAGCCAAAGCCAGAGAGGGAGGGAGCCAGAGCCAGAGCGAGTGAGTGAAAAACATGAAACATAAAATGTGACATGAGTGGGTTAAGTTCGTTTCAATTCAATTAATTTCGCTGGCCAGCCAGCGCCGAGCCAAGGCTTTGCTCTCCACTTTGTTGGATGATTTAATAACAGCCAACCACCCCGCCCCCTGGCGATTTCAATGGGTTTTACTTTATCCCCATGGGCGGCTCATTAAATCTGTGCGCCACATTTAAAATTAATCATTACAGCGACCTCACAAAGCGGCAACTGCGGAAGTAGAGCAAACAAAGGGACCTTATGCATGCGGTAAACACCATGTTGCAGGTTCATAATGCAGGTGAGTGCGGTCTGCCTGAAGGTTAATTGGGAACTGGGTGGAGGGGGGGGGGAGGGAATCGCCAGCATCATAATTGATTTTAAAAATAACTAACTTGTTCTTTCTCAAAATGTAAAAGCTAATAACATTGATACGCAGCTACCTGCCACGCTAGGATGCTGGACATGAAGGCTAACACAGTTTCTGATAGACAAACTTTCCATTTATTATTAACTCCCAAAGTTGCTCTCCGAAACTTTGCTGGGATGGAATAGAGGTTCAGGATTTATTGTTGTTTGTGGATAAGATCAAGTGGGGAATAGACTCGCTCTAACTTAAGTGGTGTAAGCTGAAATTGTAGCCAAATATCTGTAGTATAATGACATTCTGATATATATTATATATCCGAATGCAGAATGCCAAGATGCTGGCAGAAATTGGGGTACAGCGAAGGGGATTCCCTCGTAATGCGGTTATCTGTTGTTGAAATACAGAAATGTAGTAGAAATGTAGAAATGTTGAAGTGCCACATGTATGCTGAAAGAAGAAACTTTGTTATCTCGGCTGCATGTGCTGCTGGTTGACAGCGAAAGTGAACAGGAAATATTCCGGGCGGAGAACACGGCACATCTGCGATGAAATCCAATGCCATTTCCGGCTGGACAATGACCACAAAGCCGCAGAATCCGAGAATGACAGCTCCTCCTTCTCCTCCTCCGTGGCCCTGCGAAGCGATAAATCAGCAGGAACCAAGGGAAAAGTGGGAAGGGAAAAGGGAAATCGAAGGAGCAGAAGTAGCATAATTGTCCCATGGGAGACGTCTAACCAACAGCGGATCAAATTAGACTTTAATAAGCGCGATTCTGTCCTGTCTTGTTTTCCCTTTTTTTTTTGTTTTGTCAGATTTTCTTGTATTTTCTTTCTCTTTTTTTTGGCACCTTGGATGGCGATGGCGATGGCGATGGCGTTCTATAAATATTTTCCCAACAGGGGAAGGATAAACAAGAAGAAGAAGAAGAAGAAGAATGTAATCAAAGGCCCGCAGAACATGAAATTCTTGTCCTGACAGGCGAAACAAAGGAGAAGTATGCAAACTACGGACGGACGGACGGACAGGACACGGCCGTTTCCCTTTACCCATTTCCCTCTACCCATTCCTCTTTCTTGTGCTTTTTTCGTCCTTTGAACTTGATGAAGAAATGAAAATGTTACCCCGAAAAGTGAAAACAAAGATGCCAGTTAAAAGTACGAGTTGCCTGCTTATCTGGCCATACCCCCCCCCACAGGATTGGTTCTAACCACGTTGTGCTGGAAAAACCTTTTCCATGTGGCACTCCTTCGATGATTCCTCGTTGTGGGCAGCAATTTAAGTTCGGGAAGGGGTTTGTCCCCCATTCAGACATCTCCCTTGACACTTTGTCTGGTTACCAGGGATTTCCCCACCAGACTTACACATGTCCCGCCGCATATTTATAGTCTATAGTCTAAGCTGGCTTTCGCTTTCGCCTTCACTTTAATATGGATTTGTGGGAGGCAAGCATTAGGGAGGACAATTTATGGGAGCCAACATTCCGGACACCCCATTAGCACTTATTTGTCCAAGATCAAGAAGCCGTAATTGTTGCAAAAATGATTTTATAATGCCCTTCCTTATGGCTCATCTACACTTCCAGAAATATTCAATTAATGCCCTTCAAATCTTCAAAAGTTCTTCCCCCTTCCCACTACGATAAGACCAAGCCAGGTGGGCCCCATTATGTATGCTACATTTTAGCCAGGCTCCTTTGGGGTGGCCCCCGCTCAGCCATAACTTACTTGTCACGCTTTGGTTTATCCTCGGCATTGTCATCCTTCATGAACGATGGCTGCAGGCTGAATCGGCGACGTAAGTGACGGCCACGCATCCTGCAGTCCTTGGTATGCCTGGTGCTGGGTGCTGGTTGCTGGGTGTCCTTGTAGCGAGTCTTCTGATAAATCAACGCCCCTCGCTTTTCGCTCAGTGTGTTCCTGTGTTTCTTCTCCTTCGATTCGCCGTCGGTCTGTGGCGTTTTATTATCAGCAGTCGGTGTAAGTGGAGCAGTAACTGTAGCGCTAACTGGCAAACTGTTATGGCCACGTTAACGGTTGGTAGTTGGGTCCTCACTCCTCACTCAACACTCCTCGCTCCGCAGTCCTTGCTTAGTCCTTACTTAGTCCTTCGTCCCTAGTTTATTATTAGCCCCGCCAGCGTTTTTCCCTTTCCTCCGCCACCGGAAAATGCAAATATTTGCTCTTCTTTCTCGAGTCTTACGTTTCGTTTTAATTACGTGACTCGATGATGATAATTTCCTTGGCAAATTCCCCTGTTTACCTGCGAATGGAAAAGGTTCTGATGAGAGACAAAAAGCTATAAATTACGAGCCACCTGCTTATCGCTCTGCCGCTGGTCGTCAGTGTTTGATAATTGAAATTAAAGCGAAAACCGTTCCGACCAAACGGAAACAGAAACAGAAACAGCAACAAAAACCATAAACACCTGCACGATAAGAGGGCGGCGGCTGTTTCATTGCAGGGTAAATAAAATCAATACATCAAATAAACTGTTTCACGGTAATGAAAGACACTTTCAAACGCTGATAAATGCGGAAGGATACGTCTTTAATTTTTAGTACTTTCAAACAAAAACATTTCCTAACTTTTGGAGGCAATTAACAATCAACTATAGTCCTGGGAATAAGACAATAAAGACTGCCAAACTTCGTTTATCTCAACTTTCCCCTCAAAACGACTGTTTAATGTCCATAACTAAGTCCATAATGGTCCGAATATGGACTGTCATACATCGATAAATCTGTGATTAAAATTCCATCAAAACTGCATTCAAAGTTGAAAAAGTGCAATATTATAACTTTTTCGCTAAATTTGATGATATTACCTTGTCTCAAAAAAGGGAAGGAAGGGATCTCCGTTTTTCTCGCAAAGATGACAGTAATTTGCCCATAATTATGTCAATAATGGTCCACATGTAGAATGCAATACCTCGCTGAGTTTGTAATTAAATTTCTATCAAAACTGCATCCCCACCTTGAAATGTACAATTTTGCGCGTTTTTCTCAGATTTTGATGATGTTACCCCTTATCGGGAATGCAAGTTTCGGTTTCTCCCGTTTTCTCTCCCAAAGATCAGTATTTTTCTCATAACTTGGCCAATAATGGTCCGATTATGGATTGCAATACCTCGTTAAGCTCATAATTTGATTTCTAACAAAACTGTGTCCCCACCTTGAAAAGTACAGATTTAGCAATTTGTCGTAAATTTTGACGATGTTACCCCTTATCAAAAATGCGAAAATGAGCCGCAAAATTAATTTCCCAAAATCGAAAAACGAGTGATAGGGGTGGTTAGTGGGGGTCGTCAGCAGCACAAAACAGTCGTTCTTTTTGCTGTGCGATTTGTTTTGACCGAGATAGAGCTAAAAAACCGAGCATAGTATTGCAAATTTCTGTTAGAAATCGGTTTCCTGATTTTTTAGCCCTTAAAACAGAGCTCGCACCGAAAAATCAGAGAAATAATGATAAAAGCAAGTATAGGAGCTTAAAGTTTTGCTTGTTAGCTGCACAAAACAGTCATTGTTTTAGCCGTGCGTCTTCTTTTGACTAAGTTAGAGCTTAGAAACGGCACCAAAACCGGAATCTATGCTGTCAAAAGACGTATACTTGATTTTGGGCTAATAATATCAGTTTTTTAGCCATAGCACAGCCAAAAATGGTCCAAATAAAGAATGTAATACCTCGTAGAGCTCGTAATTTGATTGCTTTGATTCTCAACTGATTTGCATTCAAATCTGGAAAACTTAATTTTTGGGCATTTTTTGAAAATTTTGATGATGGTACCCCTTATCAAAAATGCGAAAAATTGTTAAAATTTCAAGCTCACAAAATCCCCAAATCAATGATGAAGAAAGTTTGTGTTGGTCGAAAGCTGCTCAAAACTGTCTTCATTTTAGGTCTGAGCCTTCTTTTGGCTAAGTTATAGCTATAAATCCGAAAAAAATTGAGATCATTTTCTGGCGAAACGCAGAATCCTGATTTCGGTCTCAAACTAACAAGAATTCTTCCTATAACTAAGCCAATAATTGTCGGAATGTAGAATGTCATACACCGATGAACTCGTAATTAAAATTCCAATCGAACTGTGTCCCCACCTCAAAATGTCAAATTTTTGTTGATTTTCTCAAATTTTGATGATGTTACCCCTTATAGAAAATCCAAAAATATGGTACAAATTTAAATCCACAAAATCCTCAAACCAATGATGAGGAAAGTTTATTTTGGTCGGAAGCTGCTCAAAACAGTCTTTACTTTAGCTCTGAGCCTTGTTTTGGCCAAGTTATACGCATAAAACCGATCAGAAATAGTGCCATTTTCTGTCGAGACTCAAAATCCTGATTTTAGCTCAAAAGTAATCAGAATTATTCTCATGACAAAGCCAATAATTGTCATATTATAGAACGTTATACATCATAGATCTTGAAATTAAAATTTGGCTTGTCTCTTATTTTGATTTAGTTTCAGCAATAAAAAACATTTCAGATGATCGAAGTTTGCTAAGTTCTTGGAATCGTCTATTTTGCTACCATCCTGAGCTAAAGCCACCTTGCAGGGCAGTTAAGGAAATGTTAAACTTCTTTCAAGTTGCTGAAACTCCGACTAATTAAACAGATTTATGTTGGCCGAGTTGGGCTAAGGCCCCTGCTTGGGCACTGCTTTCTCTGCGTGCAGCTTTCCCCAAATGCCGTGGTGCTTATTCTTATTTTATGGGCATTTTTAGCAGGTTCTGCTTTCCCTAACTAAGTTTATGTTGGGCAAAGCAAAGGAGAAGCAAGAACAATAAGGCTGACATTAATTAGTCTGTAATGGAGAGAGAGAGAGAGCAGGTCTGCGAGTGAGTTTAAAGTTCCCCGAAAGGAAAGAAATTAATCCGAGATTCCTTCATATCAAGTGTAAGTGCCCCTAAAAATGTGCAACATTATTTGCACCAGAAAATAAAATGTGAAATTCGATCTGTGACCAGCACCCCCTTCCTTGCGAACTGCAGTGCTCGGGACAATGTGCCACAAGCTGCGTGGCTGCAACAAAACAAGTTTACTGCAAGCAACCGGAAATAGCTGGAAAATGCCTTGAAATCACTCAGCATTCAGGGCAGGAAGAGCCCAGGAAAAGCGGGAGAAACAGGAAAACCGTGCTGAAGCACGCCGGCCAGACCGAGAGACAGAGGAAGGGCAATTCAATTGCCGGGCATCATCCACATTCCGTAGCCCTCAGAATGGATTAATTTATAGAAATTGTTAAGAATTAATGATCTTTGGGCTGCTGTGTGGTTTAATTTCGGGATATTAGTCCTGTGAATATTGCTTGCCTACTTTTTGGGGCACTCAAAATGCACTTCCCCTAAGCCAAGGCAAGAAGCCTGTGATTTTTTCAGTAAGAAGACTGCAGACCGAAGACCAAAGACTGAAAGACGCTTAAGAAAGTCAAACTTTGGCAGCTGTGTGTTCAATTTTTTCCTTTCCTTCTCTCAGGAGTAGGTATCTGTATGTGTGTGTGAGTAAGTGTGTGTGTGTGTGTGCAGTGGGTAGTGGGTATTAAGACAAGTTGATCCGAACTGGCAGGGAAACTTTGGCTGCGGCTTAGGAGCCCGAAAATTTGCTCAAGTTAAACGAGTTGCGGCATATTGACTGCAGTCAGCTGAATAAATGGATTATCCTAGCAAAAAGAAAGGGGGCGGCAGGGCGGGGGTCAAAGGTGGCGGCTGCAAGGAGGGAACGCGTAGAGCGGCTAAATTGCCTGTGGTTCCTGTGTTTTGTCTTGAGGGTCTCCTCCACCCTTTTCGCCCTCTTCTTTCTTCGCTTTACTAAATTAATTTGTATGAAATTTTGTTGGTTTCTTTACTTATTCCTAGTCGGAAGGGATGGAAGGAAGAGACAGCGGAAAAGTGCTGGAGAAAATGCAACTTTTCAAATGCACTCAAACCATTCGATTTTCCCATAGAACGGTGGACAGAGTGGGAGAGAGTGGAAAAGGCGCAGAAGAAGAATGCCTTGCCCAACTATTCCTTCAATTTCCGGCCCGATCTGCCCGACTTTTGTTCCCATAAAACTTTGCTAATAACTTTGCGGAATCCCCCGCCACTCGAAAATCATTTAATTCACATTTGTTGCACTTTCATAATGGCATAATGTCTCATACTCTGCATAGCCAACATCTTTTTGTAGGGCACTCTCCTAGTCTAAATGCTTTCCTCACTTTGGGCTTTCCCTCTTTTTATTATCTCAAACATTTTCCGGTTTTTATTTAATGCAATTCGACAATAATAAATGGGATCGTAAAACGTGTTACGGAATAATCAGGCACATAAAGCAGCTCGATCGTTGGGGCTTTGGAAGGACAGAATTATGGGAAATTATGCAACTGGTCCATGGTGAAAGCAAAGAGCCTTACCAGAATTTGCCACGAAATTTGGCAAATGCAAAAGCATTTCTAGTTTGGAGCGGTGGCAGCAGCAGGAGGAGGAGGAGAAGGTACTCGTATGCGCCAGATTAGCACGACCATTCAGCTAGCTGGCTGGCTGGCTGGTGAGTGGGTGGGTGGGTGGTGGCCAGCAACCTAATGTCCCTATCTGGTGGTTACCTGGTTACCTGGTTACCCGGTGTTTGCTTGTGCTTTTATGTGTGGCTGATGTTCGTGACTGGCCCTGAATGCACTGGCTCACTGGCTGACTGGCTCGCTGGCTCACTGGCTCACCTGCTCTCCAGTGAAAGCAGCATTCAGCCAGGTGCAGCACTAAAATTGAAAAGCATAAATACATGTGTATAGTACTCGTACATGGACTATAAACATAAAGCGCCCCAGTACATAGAGGAGGGTGTTAAGGTATGGTTTGTGGACGGTGGACGGTGGACGGTGGTCCTTCTGCAGAAAGGGTCACAAAATGTTGAATGTCCTCCACATCCCCCCCCTCCTTTTCCTTAAATTTATACCTCATTTCTATCGCTTGGCGGAGGCTGTTAAATTTGGTGGTTTCTGAGGGGCCTTCAGGCAGGAATAGCCGAAGGAATAGCGATTATAATTTAATCTTTGTGGGGCTTCCTATTACTGATCACAAATCACAGGCTCAGGCCAAGCAACAATGCAACAATTGGCAAAGCAACAGGCAAGAGGCAACAATGGCCACGAAGCTGAATTCCTTTGGGTGTTCCCTCAACATAAATTTCCCTTTCCTTTGCCTTTTGTTTTTGGGTTCTTCTTTTCGGTCAGGCAAAATGCTAATGAATCGGGGCTGGGCTGGGAAATCAAATGAAAAACAAATAA